CCTGCCACCTTAATCCCCTTTGGCTTTGTTTTTTTTCAAATTTCTGCCATCTTAACTTCTGTCTTGTGGTTCAAGATGCGTTTTTTTTTTTGTTTGTTTGTTTGTTTTTTTTTTGGTTTTTGGTTTTTCTCCGGTACCGGGAACCGAACTCACGACCTTGCGCTTGCCAGGCAGGCGCTTTTTGCCGCTGAGCTAAATCCCCAGCCCCTCAGCCTGAGCAGTTTTTAATCTGTTCGTGAGCACTTGCAGTGACTTCTCCGGGAAATTTTAATAAATAATCACAAACTTTGACCCATATTTGCTCCCCTCTCGTGTGGGCATCTGAACAAACACACCTAAGGCCTGTCCTTTGCAGTTCAGTGGTGAGAGCTCCAGAGCTTGGTCGTGACCTTGATGGTGAAATTCATGAGCCTCCTTACCTCTCAGTTCCTTGAATAAAACAAAAATGGGATAATGGCAGTACTGATTCATATGGTTGTTTTGAGGATTACAGGAGATTGTTTCACGTAGCAATTGCTTAATACCTGTAAGCTGCAAGTGCTATTTTATTTAAGCAAATAAATGTGTCTTCTCCTTGAGAACTCCTCCAACTGAGTACGTATTAATTTGCCTCAAAGTCTGCACATCTGAGGTACTAGGCACGTTGGATGTTGGCATCATTTGAAAGGGACCAACACAATATCATTTGCACTAAGTTTATTTCTATTCTGGAATTTCTTCTATACGTAAGCTGGGAAAGTTAGTAGTATCAGTCTCCAGTTTTTCAGAATCTGGAGTTCGTAAATTTTTTCTTAACAGTAACATGCCAGTACTATTTTGCTTTACGTTTCTTTTGTATTTATAAAACCATGAACATATGAAATAAGAATCTTAAGAAATACTTTCAGAGACATACCAAAATATGCAGCTAAAAACTAACTTTTTATCATACATGTTCAATTTTGAAGCATGAGAATGCTATTAATGAAATTCCTTAACGTTTTAAATAAAAGGTTTTTTTTAAAGTATGAAAATAATCGCCGGGCGTGGTGGCACACACCTGTAATCCCAGGAATCAGGAGGCTGAGGCAGGAGGATCATTGTGAGTTCAAGACCAGCTTGGGCTACAAAGTGAGCTCAAGGCCAGCCTGAACTGCATAGCGAGACCTTGTCTCAAAAAGACAAAAAAAAAAAAAAAAAAGTATGAAAATAAACAGTAAATGAATTAGGTTTTCTTATTTACTTACATAAACTGAAGGATGCATTCCAACATGGTGGGCAATTAGACCCTTTGTCTGTTTTAAGTAGACCACCAGGATAGTACTTGAGCTGTTTTCAAGCATGTGGCATCCAGCCCAGAACTGTATATTTTATACAATAAAATTATAATAAATAACAATCAGCATTTAATGAGCACTTGATTTTTCTTAATCAACACGCTCCAAGCTGTACATGCATTACTGTGTATAATACTCATAAAAATCCCTACTCCCTAAGTATTACTGTTCCTATCCTACAGGAGAAGAGCCCAAAGTTAAAAAGTTAGCCAGCCAGTAAGTGCCAATGGTGGTGTTATTCCAAGTTTTCTCATCGCCACACCCCTCCTAACCACCATGACTGCCACTGATAAACTGAGGATTCTGAGTGTAGCTGGTGGCATGTCTCTCTCTGTGGACCTCCAGGAATGAAACAAGGGATTCTCGGGTCAGGTTGAGAGTCATTTCTGAGTCATAGCCAAAGGACCTCTAATGCCTTTCAGAGCTTGGGAAGGCTTGCATGGATATCTGACAGGAACCAGAGTTGCTAACACACCAAACCCTTTGCAAGCCACAGTAATTGTGTCAGCCAGTGAAACGCTGCTAGCGGGAGCAGAGGTTCCATCTCTGAAGTTCCTGGGTCTAGGTATTCCTAACAAATGGAGTTCCACGGAAAGGTTTGCAGTAAATGAGCTCAAAATCTGAGCTGCTAGTTCTTGCTATCTTGGATGTAGGATTTTTTTGGGGCAAACTCGATTGCAGCGTGAATTAATTAATTTCTTTCTTTCTTTCTTCTCTCTCTCTCTCTTTGTAACAGAGAAATTATTTTTCTTTTATTTTAGCTTAGTAGTTTTGTCTGATTGCAATATTATTCTTAAGCTTTTGTTTTTAATTTTTAAATTTAGAAATGGCTCAGTTGGGGAACTATGACAGTGGGACAGCAGAAACACCAGAAACGGATGAGTCAGTGAGTGTAAGTATCTTTTTTGTTAAAAAATAGTGTTGATTCTTCTGTTTATTAGCTTCAAGAGTTTTTGCTGAATTAATTACTTTATTCAACAAATATTTATTGTGTTTCTATGTGCAAGAAACTGCCAGGCACTAAGCATACAATTTTAGTGCTCCCTCAAAGAGAAACAGAAATTTACAAAAAGAATTCATAACAAGGAACATGAGAAAGATCTGTGAAGGAAAAAATACCATGTGCTGCTAAAACATATCGTAAAGAGATTTGCGTTAGTTTGGTAGTCCCCAAAGATTTTGCAAGGATGTGGCACTTGAGCAGACATGTGAGAAATTACTGGGATGGAAAAGGGGGAGCGTTCCAGATGCGACATGCTTCTGATTGCTAAGGGGAAGGGAGGCCATGGGGAATGGAGAGCTTGAGCCAAAACCCTGCTGCCAGGTGTTTGGTGTTTGTTTGTTTGTTTTAATTTTAAGAGCAACAAGAAGCAACTGAGCGTCAGAGAAGTACATGTGCAGATGGGAATCAAGGAGGCAAACGAGATGACCTATCGGAGTCATGGCTTAAAGGAAATCACATGGGTACGGGGAACAGACAAGTGTCCCTGGGAAAGGCAGTGAAGATGCAGCTGCAATAATACTGCGGCTGGGGCCATTCTCCTAAATAGTAAACCCCAGCAGAGAAACCAAGACAGGCAGGGTGAGGGCGACCAAGCAGGCATAGGCTGTTCAGCCTGGTGGCTTTGAGTCCAGACTATGGATTCACATTGGCCAGATCTGAAAACCGGCTGTACCTCTTACTAGATCTGGGGGTCAGGGGGAGATACTCTATGCTTTAGTTCCCCCTTTTATAAAATAGATATAAGATGCTATACAAGATTAATGAGATATTCGATGTAAAATCACCAGGGAATGTGGCATAGGAAATGCCAAATAAATGACAGTTGTTTTATTTATTTTACTACTGTTATAATTTTGAGTGTGTTGAAACTGAAGTTCCTTTGAAACATCCGAGAAGAGTCATCAAACTGGCAACTGTATATTTGCTGTCTTCCGACACTTAGGGAGTTCTGGTGAAGATTGGACTGATGTAGGAGTCATCAGTGAACATAAAGGAAACTACTTGGTAGAAGAGTTCATGGGCCAGGGGGCCTTGAGTACAGCCTTGTAATCCAAAGCCATGGAAGAGCAGTCCTAACGAGAGTGGCTGCATGTCTAAGTGGTCCCAGTCCTGAACTCTGCCCTGTGTTTAGAGGCCGAGGCAAAGAGAGGAGAGATATGACTGCTAGACTGAGAAGGTCAGATAGCCCTGAGGCCAGTGTTGCTTGTGTGTCCCCGGCAGACACTGCAGTCACCCAAGATGGTGAGGGAAGTCAGGCAAAGAGGCAGGTAGGAAGGTGGGTGCCAGGTCTTCCACCGACATATGGGTTGACAGCCTCAGAGACTACTGTGGTGAGTGGGGAGTCGTGGGATTCTTCCAGAGTGGTGGGCTAGGAGCACTGGACTTTGCAGAGGGCAGCAGAGAGGCTGTTAACCCCTGTCCCTGTTCAGGTAAATGAGGCATGAGATGATTTCTATCAAGAGCACTGTGTTTACTCTTGTCCTTTGAGCTGAACTTTTTAGAGACCATCATTTAAAATGTTGATATTTAAAGCATGGTGAGACTTCTGATATGGAAGTAAAGAAGGGCAAGCATCCTACATTTGAGTGTTCCCTTTGCAGCCTGCTCTTTCTTCTAGCAAAGCTTACTGCAGGAATGAAGTAGACATTCCCTGATCAGAGTTAGTGAGACCACATCCTCCACCAGCCCCGGGGACAGCAACTCCAGCCCAGGGTCTTCTGGCTGAATGAAACCAGAAGAAGGTTTAACATTTTGGATTTAAATCACAAATTGTTATGAGACTAAGATGAGACAAACTGGAATGATTTACAAAGGGAAAATAAAGTGAGGAAATTTCAAAGATCTTAGTGCACTCAACCCTTGGAAATACGGGTTGGTTACATGGTGGAGCTCGGCACTGCTGTGGTGATGGATCTTTGAAACTGTCCGTTTCCTGAGCTATGATACTCCACATCAGAAAATTGAACATAAAATTCAAATATTAACGTTTTTGCCATTAATACAATCTTCTAAAATATGAACTTTTTAACTTGTATATTTTGTTCCCAAGAGCTCTAATGCTTCCCTGAAACTTCGAAGGAAACCTCGAGAAAGTGATTTTGAAACAATTAAATTGATTAGCAATGGAGCCTATGGGTGAGTAATTCAAGAAAAGCTCTCTTATATTTTAACACGCCAAGTAATATGTTTATTCTTTATGTTTATTTTATGCCAAGTAGACATTCTGTGAGAACTTTTCAGATCACTGCTCTTTACTTGATGTGTGTAATATGCTGCCAAAATATTTCTTCCTGAATACTCCAGTGGAAAACCCAGCAAGGTACCTAGGCGTTGTTTTAGAAGGCGAGAGAGAAAGATTGTGTAAAGTAAAAGAAAAATGTTATGAATTCCTATTTCTACTCCTTCATTCTTCCCTACTGGCTTCACAAGTCCCTGACTCCTGGTGTGCATGCACACAAGCGCACACGCATTTACTGTTAACCTGTGCTTCCTGTCTGACCAGTAAGCAACCTTGTAAGAAAAGAAGACTATTACATAAGACTGGTTGAAAATTTAGAGCTATATATTTACTTTTTGTTAGTCTTTATGTTAAAATAAGATTTTAAAAATTGAATCCTACCCTATAATGTGCTTTTGTATCCATTTTGTTTTTCTTTCAGCTAGAAACTTATTCTCTAGATTTGTGTACATGTGCTGCAGGATTTACTTTCAAAGAGCACCTTAAGTTAGGCTTATAGCAGGCACTAAATTGTCCCTACTTTCCTTCTCCCTTTATTATTATACCTTTTTATATATAATATACAAACTATTTGTTTCAAGAAAATTTTTGTTGGCATAATTTTACATATTTATGAGGTACATTGTTATACTTCAGTGCATTCATGATAGTAAAGTCAGAAAAATGAACATTTCCATTTGCTTAGACACTGATTATTTGTGTTGTGAACCTTTGAAGTCCTGTCATCTAGATCCTTGTTCCGTTTTTATAGACACACAATTCCCTTCCTCAGCGAACAGGGTCAGTAGCAACTGGATCCTTGTGAGTTACTAATAAACAGTTTGGAAGGGTAATTAATGTGCAAACTGACCCGATCCATTTGAGGCAGCCTAAGAATTTCAGTTTAATTAAGTATTAATCCCAATTCCATCTGTAAATGGAGAGCAATAAATAACCCCAGGGACATTTATTGTTACTTGTCACACATATGAACAGATGAGATAAAAGTGATTCTTGTTGTGCCACAGGGGTATTTCTATTTTTTCACCCCTAGTATTTTCCATACCACTAACTTAGTGAAGAACTTAAATATTTGGGAGTCCTTTCTGTACTTCACTGATTTGTTTTCCAAATTATGTCAAATGGCCTATTTCCTGATATGGCCCATAAATGCTTTCCGATGGTATAGTTTTGTAATATCGTATTGCCTTCGAGGACCTCACTGAAACCTTTATACCTAGTAATATTGTTGTAGCATGCTATTGTCCATGGTTTCTGTTTGCTTATTACTATTTGTTTTTTTAGTTCCTTATATAGTTGGAAATGACCTAGGACTTATAGGGAAAAAGCAGCACATTTACTTAATGAGTACATGGGTTTAACACTGCTAAACTCTATCTGCAGTGGGATCCTGGAAAAACAAATCTACTTTTGTAGATCTTGGGCATATATCTTAGCAGTATTTGGAGTTCTAATTGGTTGAGTAAACTCATTTGTAGTGCAATTAAACCACTGTATAGTAGATGAGGTATATCACACTTTGGGGAATGATTGGGAATATACAAGAAGTTAAACAAGCTGTGAATCCGTAAACAGCCAGGATGGAGGCCAAGTCATTAATGGGCTCACAAGCTGCCTGTTGGAGCCTCTGCTGATCAGCCAAAAATATTTTTTTTTCCTCGTTTGCACTTCTCAGATTTAATCTCTCATTACATTTCTGACAGATTTTCTCTATGTTGTAATTATTTTTAATTTGAAATTTGAATGGAGCTTCCTCTATCACGTCACCTAGACTGATGTGAACTGGCTGAACAGATGGATTCCAGGAAAGGTGTATGAACAAAGACACTCCGAGGGGCTGTCTTGGGTATCTGCATAACAGGGTCCCACCACTCAGGCTGGTGGCTGAAAGAGGCACCAAGTCCACAGCTTTTCTAGAGTTACTGTTTACAGAACTGACCCTCTCTTTAGGAAGGGCTTTCTGTCTTGCTAAGATGCAAGGAATCATTTTCTCATTGGACTTGGTGACCATTCATGCAATAATGCCACTTTGATAAACATCTGATTCCGTTGTCTGTTGCCCATGTTTCAGATCCCTGGTAAGCATCACTTCGTGCCAAGCCAGCCCTCCATAGAAGGCTGTCTCCGTATGGCAGGCGCTCTGCTAGTTTATCTGTGTGCTCTTCTCAGAAGAGCCCTGGGTGGTGGTGGAGTCTCCTCGCCTGCATGCGGGGAGAGAGGTGTTGAAGCCATGGTCACAAAGCGTCCAATTCCCAGCAGGGCTCTCCTCTCTCTGTAGTGTCCTGTGGTTAAAACTTTTAGCCATCTTAATTGAGGTGTAACAATCCTACTTTTTCTATTGAGCACACCCTGGATTTTTAAATTACAACTTCAAATATTTTCAAAAGAGAATCAAATTGACTCAAAAGTGAAAACACTAAGTGCAATTTCTCCCCGACTTTGCTTTCCTTTGTAACCTCAATGCACATGCTTCTCTTACGGGCCAAGGGCCAGGGAGTTTGTCAGAGAGGCCAGGGTGGAATGTGAGGCATGAGCCTCTCCACATGCAGCCCGCTGCCTTTCCCCTCTGTTTGCCTCTCACGCGTACTCCCTGGCCCCCAGGTGCTTTTTGCTGCCCCAGATTCATGAATTGGGTCCTCAGCGTGGATGTAATTTTATACACACTACACATTCCTGCTCCCGGTAGAGCTGATTCATTCAGCTCTAGGTGCTGTCCGTTTGAAGGTCCATTTCTCCCCAGCTTCCCACACCTCAGCTTTGTGTGGGCGGCCCCAGATGATAAGGGCCCCTGGTGGCCTTCTCCTAGTCACTTTCCACCTTTGGGTTTTCCTGTTTTCCGAGGAGGTTAGTGGGGGAAGAAACAGAAGCAGCCTTTTCAGAGCAACCCCTGGGATCAGAAAGCAAAGAAGTATGAGGCCAGGTCAGCCCCAGGCAGTGGAAGGGCAGCAAGACATTTGTAATGCATCAGCTGCTGTTCTTTTGTCTGCTTCCTCTTGCTCTCTTTCCCTTACTCCAAATCTCTTGCTTTCCATTGGCTTAAGGAAGTCTAGAACAGTGACTTTTGAAAAAGGAGGAAAGGCATATGTGAGACACAATAATTATTACTAAATAGCAAATTCTAGCATGAAGAATAGTACTCCCAAAGCATTACAGAAATATAAGAACCCAAGGACGTAAAATGAACTAAAAAAAATCAAGCTATAGAAAATTCACTTTGGGGAGTCTAGTTGCCTTCTGCAACTTAATCAAGGTATGTGCACATGTCCTGAGGCAGGGATTTCTCAAGCTGCCTTATAGGGTTAATTTCAATTGGTTTGGGTCAGTTTCCCTAAGATTAACTGATTATTTTAAGTACATCATAGCAAGGGAGAGCAGGAAGTCAGATCAGATTCTATAAACTGAGAATCCGAGACTGCAGATGGAAGCTGTTTTTTATACAGTACCACAGAGACCTAATCAGCATGGTGGTTAAAGTGAGCCTCTGGCATCTTTCTCTTTTGTTTCTTCATAGACTCCTGTACACGTCTTTTCTTCCTTCAGCGCCTATTGCTCTTGCAGAATATTGCAGAGCAGTTATTTATATGAGAAGCGGTGAGGATTGATTGAAAATCAAAATGGTAGCCTTGTGATAGCCTAAACATGAAATTCAGAATACTTACCTAAGGGTCCTCAGTACTAGACTTAAAATTAAACATTGACAGAAGAGATAGAAAGCAAGCTGTAGTCTGCGTCACTCTTAGGAATGGGCAAGTGATTACAGAAAGATGCTGCCATTTGCTTTTCAACATCATGAATTCTTTTTTAAAAAATAGACTGCCTAGGGGGCTAGAGATTTAGCTCAGTGGCACAGTGCCTGCCTGGCAAGCGCAAGGTCGTGAGTTCGATTCCCGTACCAGAAAAAAAAACAAACAAAAAATAGATTGCCTATTTCCTTGTAATGAAAATTATGTGTGGACCAGTACATGCCTTATATTTAAGAGATACAAAGTTACTTTCTGTGTTCCTTTGTGATCTGTATTGACATCCTGTGGCCAAATGTGGTCACAAGTAATTTAAATTATCTGTAGACTTCTGATTTTATCCAATCAGTATTTGGAAAAAGGAAAATATAATAAGAGCCTTTAATCTGGGGAGTGTAGTTGCCGAGAACCCAGTGCCTGAATCTGGGGCAGCAATGGCGCACTTGGGGGCCAGGGAGTGTGTGTGAGAGGGAAACAGAGAGGAAAGGCAATGGGGTGCATGTTGGTTAGTTAATTTAACAGATATTTAAAGTTTGTAGTCATTTAAAAATACATACTTGAACATTTTAATGTAACCTAAATACACACATATACATGTACTGGTTTGGGCATATAAAACCATTCAGGATAGCCGGTATAAACCATAGTTACAATACATTGTTTCTTATTTCCAGTTTCAGCTTCTTTAAGGGTGAAGGAGGAAAGAACTTGAAACAATTTGAATGTAGTGACTTACATTTCTGTGTTTTGTTTTTCTTTCAATTTTTGGAAAGTTTATCCTCACTAAATCAGAAAAGGAATTTTATTTAGTAATTTACATCTATCAAAACTTTCTAAAACATTCCTTGAGAAGATTTTTTATAACTACTGGAGCTTCTCATCGTCACACTCATACTTCATTGGTTTCAATATTTATTTAAATTGATTAATTTTTTACCAAATTCAATCAGCAGAAGAGCTGTGAGAACAAACCCAGCCTATGGGAATCCCAGTGTGCCGGCACCGTGCAGAAAGCCACTGGCCATGCTGAAGGTGCTGGAGCCAACTTGTTGGCTCCCACGCTATTGAGCTATATAGTGGGAATGAACCTTCAGGGCATCCAGTGGGTTGTTTTGTGGAGTATGATTAAGGGAGCTCTTTCCTGTACAGCACATGAAGAACTAGAAAGCCAAAGAAATGGGATGGTGGTGGGGGAGCAGAGCCAAAAATGTTTTAAAATGTTTCACCACAGTTAAAAATATGAGTAATGAGTAATTTTTGTGAGCAAAGGCAAAAGGTGAATATAAGAAAAAGATTTTATATATATATATATTTATATATATATATATATATGAAAAAATAATTCCTAGTGGAATAATTAAAGGGAAAAATGCTAGCATTGATTAAACTGGGATTGACTATATTGGGATGCACTGCAGTGGGTCACCTCTTAGAGGAGCCCGCCCCCCCAATATTGTCCTTGTCTCTCATCATTTCCATGTGGGGCTGAAGACGACTCCTCCTAATTACTTCTCTCCCCACATCATCCTGCACCTCAGGGAGGCCCGTGTCTCGCTCTAGAGAGAATCCGGGAAAGGCTGTGGGCAGAGAAGAGGCCCAGCCGGCTCTGGTCATGTTACACAATGCGATTGCCTGGCACTGTGGCCGTGGCTTTGGAGGAGCAGAAGCACAGCTATGTGGCGAGCCCCCTTTTTATAGGGAAATGCATTTTCTTTTGTGACAGGCATGGGAGTAACACATGCCGAGGCCCATAGTGAGGAAATATGCTACTCTTTGTTGCAGAATGGCCTCATATAACCTCTTATTTCTCATTTATCTGGAAATTTCATGGGAAGTAAATTACTTTCAATTGGAAACTAGATACTTTAAGAAGCTCTGGTCCTTTTCACAGATCCCGAGGGTATCATTTAGAAAATTATTGCTTGAGTCAGTCAAGGAAAAGTGCCTAACATATGTCTAATGCCAGCAAGGATTTAGCTTGTGATCTGTATGTAATTTTGTTAATTCTTCCCAGTTCTGATTTATATATTGGATTTAGTTTTGTTTGTGGAAAAACTGAAAACATCAGCTAGATCTTGGAAAATAGTTTACTCTGGGGACTGTCCGTCTCTTTTCTTCGGCAGTGAAGATGAGTTTGATGCCTCGTGTATGAACTTTATTGGAAGACTTAAAAAAAAAAAATCAATGTAGCCAAAAGACTTTGGCCTGGGAGGGAGGTGGTTCTAGTTGCCAGCATAGCTGGTATGAGCTGAATTCCAGCTGCCCTAAGAAAAGTAGAAGAGCACATGGTTTGCTGCATCCCCAGACATCCTTACATGAACCCCAATACTTGTGTGCTTCTTTTTAGGGCAGTCTATTTCGTTCGGCATAAGGAATCGAGGCAGAGGTTTGCCATGAAGAAGATTAATAAACAGAACCTCATCCTTCGAAATCAAATCCAGCAGGCTTTCGTGGAACGGGATATTCTGACTTTTGCAGAAAACCCTTTTGTTGTCAGCATGTACTGCTCCTTTGAAACAAGGCGCCATTTGTGCATGGTCATGGAGTATGTGGAAGGTAAATCAGCTGCTGACCGAGAACAGAACACCTGCACGCAGCGCTTCCTCACTTACTTGTGTCCTCGAACTGTCTGTGTTTATGCCACATAAATGACTATCCACATAGGACCTGGAGCCAGGCAATGAGATGGCTGTAATCCCAGTCATTATCTTCTGATAATTGCTTATAAAGTGCCTACTCTACTATAACAAAGGGAAAATTAGTGCTATTTGGAAAACGCTGTTTTTCTTTTTTTAAATAGCTTTTAATCCTAACTACCTCCCTTCAGTTGGTCATTAAAGTTGGAATATAGGAGATATAATGTTTCCTTTTTATTTTATCACATATCATAAAAGCATTCATTGCTTTGGGTCTTCTTGAGTTAAAAATATACTCTTTGTAGTTTAGACTATGGAATTAAAAATGTGTTAGGGAAAGACTTAAAAAAAAATCTAGCCAAGTCTGCTTGATTTTCAGGGTTTTTTCTTTTGTAAAAATGGTTTTTGTGGTCTACTTTTTAAAATTTTCCAAGTAATCTTATTTCTATTCCTTTTCCTTTAAATTCTTGAGACTTTTGAGTGGACATGACTTGTTGACATTAAAGTTAATAAAATGAATAAATCTGCAGAGGCCAAAACAATTTTCAAAGCATCTAGTTTGAGCTCTTGTCATCGTTTGAACAGAATCCCAAAATAACCTCATTCATACAGTAGATTTAGTGACACCTCCTGTATTCTGCAGAGGAGTAAACTGAAGTCCAAGAAAGACTTACTATATATTGAGAGGTACATTGAAGACAGAAGCGTAATTCGCCTGCTTTCCACTCACTGTTCTTGCCATCACACAAGCTCTTGGCTTTCTTAACCATCGCTGTGGTCATTTTAGCAACAGCAACATTAATAACTAACATGTAGCATGAATTCGGTATGTGTTGGGTGATATCCTAACTTCTTTATATAGATTATCTCAATTAAGCCTCACAGTTCTGTAAAGGATGGCTGTATTGCTATCCTGATAATGTAGATGAAGCAACCAAGACTAGCAAGATTACTAGTTTGCCTAAAGCTCTCGATCTAAAGAGAGACAGTTGGGACTTAAATCCAGGTAGCCTAATTGCAGAGTCCTTGTTTCACACTGATCTATTTTTAGTTGTTAATTTTTAGCTCAATTCCTTTACTTTTTTCATTTATGTAGTACTGTATATACTAAAATTATGTGAGTAGTTCCTCAAAATATAGTTCTGCTTCAGAGCCAAACCTGCTCTGTTAGGAGCACTGCATATGAAGTCTATTGTCTCCACTCATGTCTTAATTAGAAACACCATTACATGAATCCTAGTTGACGTGACATGAAATCTTTTTCTTCTGCTTTATAGGGGGAGACTGTGCTACCTTAATGAAGAACATGGGTCCTCTCCCTGTTGATATGGCCCGAATGTATTTTGCCGAGACAGTCTTGGCCTTGGAATATCTGCATAATTATGGAATTGTACACAGGGATTTGAAACCAGACAAGTACGTATAGTGGTGAAATGTATGCCTTCTTTAACGTAAATACTAAGCTTTCTATGTCTAGAAAATGTTTTCTTTCAATGCTATTTGCACATTTTAAAATTCTTCCATAATGTCTAAAGCAAGTTATTTTAACAGTATATGTGGTAATTTTTATACAATTCTCTACCAGTTATAAAGCTTATAATAACAATTCTTGAGGACAAGTTGACTCTAAAGCCAGTATAAAGTTAATCTGAAGTGTTTCAGGCTATAAACTTTTGAATAGCAACGTCAAATCCCACAAGTTATTTTCTGGATAGTTTCTGCATCTGATGTCATATTCAGATAATCTTTCCCTATTCCAAAATAATATACTTGATATTATATTGTATTTTACTCACACTGTTTATTAATTTTTAATTTATGTGAAGTTCATTTTGGTGTCTGAGATACAGATGGAATCTCTTTTTCCCCAAATGACTAGCTGTTCATCTTGACACCATTTATTAAATATTTCATGCTTTCTCTGCTAATGGGAGCTGTCTTTAAAAACATTACACGTTAATATATAAAGAGTTTAAGTGTGTTGAAATTTTTATGATAAAACTGACTCCTGCTCATTCCTGAAAATTTGGAAAGCCCAAGAGATGAGAGATGAAAAAATTTCATCCATAATATTACCAAAGACAGCTATTAGCAATTTGGAATATTTCTTTCCAGTAGCTTTTTAAAATCTCTCTCTTTATTTAGTTTTTTAGTTGATGATACTGTACACTGTTTAAGTATTTTTTACCTAAAATGAAACATTCTAAATATATTCACATGCAAATTATTTGCATGTATAAGAAATATAGGTTTTGTGTTTGAGAAATGTAAATTAGAGCTGGCAGTTGAAATCTGAAACAATACATTTTTCTGTCCCAGTTCTTCATCTGTGTCTCATTTGAATCACAGATGGGTTGCTTATCTTAATCCCTAATGTATGACATGGGAATATTGGTAGCCCTTCCTCTTCTATTTTCTTATTCTGCCAAGGGGAAGAAGTCAGAGTTCTAATCTTGAATTTCACGAAGAGTTTCAGAGTGTTGTAAGAAATGAGACTTAAGTGGCTGTTCCAACAAAGATCAGCTGCTCCTTGTCTTCGGCCCTCTCTTGTGAATTACACTCAGCAACTAAAGTGACATCTCTATGTGACTTCATCACTTGCCAGGCTGAGTTTTATGAGACAGAAAAGTAGATACATTTAATAATTTTATAAATTGATAAGGGGAGGGGGAAATCTTAAAAAAAAAAACTTCAAAGTGATTGTTGTCCTCTATGTCCTTTTGCTCCATAGCTTGTTGGTCACCTCCATGGGGCACATAAAACTGACAGATTTTGGGTTATCTAAGGTGGGACTAATGAGCATGACCACCAATCTTTATGAGGGTCATATTGAGAAGGATGCTCGGGAGTTCCTGGATAAACAGGTAAGCCCGGGTGCTCTACCACTCGGAGAATTACAAAGTACAGTGTTGCCGGTGAAACTCAGAATCCACTTGCGTCAGCCATCTTCACATTAGTGCGGGTGGTTTAGATGTCTGTATAAGCCTTACATTTAATAAAGTGCAAATTGCTCCCATTTGTCTCCCTGAGCCTCTTTGAACTGTCCGCTCCCTCTACTTCTTCCCCCAGCATTATGGTCTATTAGCGAGACGAACGATCTAATTGCACACAAGTGAGAGTGTGAGAGAGACAAATGGAAAACTGTTTTTGTAAGGAATTCAGGAGTCTCAGTAGAGTACTCGTGAAACTCATGATGCATTGTACAATCACGGACGCTAAAATCCAAGCCATGGCCCATTTCCCTTTAAGCATGCCTCATTACCATGTGCCCGCAATCTGTTCATTGTAAAGTTACTTAAGGTAAACACTTCTCAACTGTCATCCTTTTATGAAATAACCAGGGTGTGAATCCATTTGGTCATATTAATAATAAAACTATCTCTGATAGTGACAGATTAAAAATGATTATTTTAAGTATGAGGATTTTACAAGGTTTAGTATTTAAAATAAGCAAAACTACCAAACCGGGTTAGAGTGTCAACTTGAAGCTACACATTACCATAATTTAACACTTGAGCAGAATTTTAAACTTCCCTTGTTTAGTATTAAAGTGCTAATTTGTCTTGGTCTTGTACAAAGGTATAATTATTGTCCTTAAGGTCTTTGTATGGGTCTGTGTAGCTGAGCAGGTACAGTTGAGGCAAGATAATTGTTTAGTCATCTTGCTCGCTGTAATTCATGTCTAACATTCCAGTTATTCTAATATTGCAATCTTCTTTCAGGTCTGTGGCACACCTGAATACATTGCCCCAGAAGTGATTCTGAGACAGGGCTATGGGAAGCCCGTGGACTGGTGGGCCATGGGGATTATCCTCTATGAATTTCTGGTTGGATGTGTGCCATTCTTTGGGGACACTCCTGAAGAGCTATTTGGACAAGTCATCAGTGGTAAATATCATCAGGCGTTATCGTTAAGCCACTACTGGGAAGCAGCCATTTAATGTCAATCTGTTGAGTGTCACAGTTTTCACTACTAAAATTTTAACCTTTATCAAACCATTGAGCCAATATTTTAAGAGAATTCACTCATCGAAGCACATAACTGACTTTCACAATCTCAAGAGAGCAATGTGTGTTGAAAATTGATCTGAGAAAGTTTTGTTAACATAGAATTTGGAAATGTGCTAGCAATGTTATTCAACTTTTATTGTGTGCTTTTTTTTATAAAAGAAATTGATGTGGGATTTCCAAGTGATTTAATTGTCATCCAGTCTTTCTTTTCCATAATAGAAAAGTTGCACCAGGGAAGAAAAGGTTAATGTGAGCAACATTTACATAAATGGGAAAAAATGGCTAATGGCACAAAGAAGAAATTAACAAAAATGTAATAAACCCTAAAACAAATGTCTACCAAATAATAAATAATGAGAATGGGAAGGAAGCAAAATTGAATCCACAGATTGTTAATGATTTCATTGGTAGTTGTTATGGTGTAATGTTATTTCTGTAACAGCTGTTCATCTTTCATTTAAAATTCAATAACCTTTAGATCTTGCCCTGTAAGCTGACCCTGACTATTGTTATGCAGCTTGTGGCAAAGCTAAATGATAATTAAATAGGATCTACCACTACCCTACCTGCTGATTTTGTAAATTTCCCTGAGGCATAGATCAAAGAGGCCTCTCTTCCTGAAAGTTTGTTAGGCATCAGTGACAGCTCCATCAGCCACTTCTGGTCTGTTCCGGACTGTGCTAACACAGGCCAGCAGTGGAAATATGGAAAAGTTCATTTTGCATACGAGGAACCTCTTAATCACAGCATTATTTTCTAACACTGACTTTGCATGCCAGGCATATTTGTAAACTTTAACAAAGTAGATTTGTGAATTGCCTGCAGTGTATAACCCCTGTATACAATATCTGAGCTGTTTATGGATTTATAACTAGGCTATTTTCTGACATACCAAGGCCTGAATGGCAAGGGGAATCAACTGTTTAATTAACACAAGCAGCAAATGCTGGCTTTGTTCTCGATGCCTTACGGCTCAGTTGCATATTCATGTTTTATTTTCCAAATCAGATTTAAACGGCAGCCGAGAAAGCTTGAGGCAGCCACATACAGAAATAACTCATGTTTTTATTGCATTTCCATACACGCAAGCACACACACCTATCTTCAGGCAAACTCCTTTAGAGTGAGAACATATCCTGATATTTATGACAGATTTTAAATACTCCCGTTACTATGATCACTTGGGGTATTTCTCTTCTTATTCTTCAGTCTTGGCATTTTGGGTTCTCCTTTGTCTCTTAGAAATATTTTGTTTTAATAACTTTTTACCTCTTGGAGCTGAAGAATTCTGTGGTCATGGCCAAATTCTCAGTTAAGGATAGTAAGAGAAAATCTTACTCTGACATGATCACCACGAGTGGGCCTGAAACCCAGGTGTTTAGAGTTCCTGTCATATTAAGTCCTCTTAATAACCAGAAGAGGCAACTTGTTAGGAGCCAATTCTAGCAAAGAACTGTGAACCCCAAATGCAGATGAGTGACATTGCTTGTGGAAATATTCTGCCCCTAACCTGCAGGAACCTGTGCTGTTCATGTCTTGTACAATAATGCTGCTGAAACTCAATTATGCATACGAGTCAGCTGCAGATCTTCAAATACAGATTCTGGTTCATTAGATTTTAGGAGCCTTAAACTCTGCACTTTTAACAAACGCCTAGGTAATGTCTGTGCTGTGGACATGGACTCCTCTTTGGGAAAATTATAAAGGACTTTTCTTCCTTCCAGATGAAATCAACTGGCCTGAAAAGGATGAGGCTCCACCCCCGGATGCCCAGGATCTGATTACCTTGCTTCTCAGGCAGAATCCCCTGGAGAGGCTGGGAACAGGTTAGAGCACATGTGTTTTGATTTTGCCAGTATGCAAGAAATAATGTCTTCATGGAGCAATCTGAGACTTTTGTGTTTTGCTTTTGTATAGGTAACATCTGTTAGTTGATGTAGGACATGACTACAGCATATTATAACAGTATTATTTAGGATTTTGTTTGCCTTTTCAGAGCAGTGCAGCCACTTCTGAAGGTTGTTATATTTTTGTGTTTTGGAGAGCACAAATTCTTAATTCATTTCAATAAATAAAAGGCACATGCAACTTTCCTGAAAAACATGCATCTTAAATAATTTGAAACAGAATTAGATATGTGGAACAATTTTTGGTTTTGTTTTTAGTATATGTTTCCATGAGGATTTGACCCAGCAGGCTGCTATCCTTCGGCTTTGAAATGGGTTATCAGTACTCGAATTAATTACTGGAAATGAGGGCCTGGGGTTGAACCATGCTGTCCTATCATGGCTATCAGCACTAAGACACAAGAAAGAGGATTCAAAACCATTGCTTTTCAAGAAAAAGGAGATAGTAGATTTGTTTCTTGCTGATTATTTTTCCTGACTGTTCTGCTAGCAGTTTTAGGTTTTCTTCCTTGCAGTCTGATTAGATAAACCTGAGAGATTCCAGTACCAAGTCCCAGTCTGCATGAATATATACAAGTGTCTAAAGGAGGCCTTATTAAATATGAATGCATACAATCTAGTCAATATCCATAATTCTCATCGGTGAAATTTGTTGGCTTGCTAGGTTGTTTGATGCTACTCTATTTTAATAGAAATATCAAAAAAGACTAATGAAGTAATCTCTATTTTTTTCAAGAAAAAAATCATTTGCAACAGTTTCAAACATTTATATCACAATCCACCTTATCCCACAGATTCCTGTTAGAGGGATTTATTCTTGCTTACATATGGAATGTTGGAGTTTGACCATGCAGTGGTGCCAAACCTGTGGCACATGTGCCATAGTGATCTGTTTGCTACTAAAGTTCTAAAACATTCTCTGTCACTGCTGTGTTAGAGCAGGGGCCAGTGAACTACAGCTGCCTGTGGGCCAAAGGAGCCCAGTGCCTGTTTTTGTAAATAAAGTTTTATTGAAACACAATACCTTTTCATTTAACACATTATCCATGGCTGTTTTCATAGCAGCAGTGTTGGATAATCATGACAAATCATGTGGTCCACAAAGACTAAAATATTTGCTGCTTGGTCTGTTATACAAAAATTTTGTAGATGCTGGACTAAAGAATCTAAGAAGGTTTAATATCAGAGCTTAGCTGGGAAACTTTGTGAGCTGAGCCTCTTACTAGATTCCATGTGCATTTTTCAGTGCTTTGACTTCGGAAGCCATTGTAAGTCAGTGCTAAAGGCACAAAGTCTAGAGTTGGATTCCTAAGTTTAAATCTGGATGCTGTGGGCATGGGTAGGTTACTCTCCTTCCCATTCCTCATTTCTTCATGTGTGCAAAGGAGAGTTTAGTACCAGCACCTTCAGGTCATTGTGAGGATACAAAGAGGTCATCCAGGTGCGGCTCCTAGAGTGAGTGTGCCGCTGCTGGTGCCACTATGAATTTTCGCATGTCAAACCCCATGCTTTCCTTTTGGACATATGAGACATAGCGTGGTGATGGTACCCCTGTCTTTGAGCCTGCTGAACTCCTTCAGCCAATTATTTTTGGTTTCCTCCAACTTCCCACCCTATTTGCTTTTCCACTTGTCTGAAGTAATGAGCAAACTTGTTATTTCCCACCCTCTGTGGCCTGCAATCAGATTTGCTTTCTGGTTCAAGAAAGATGAGCAGCTGTCAGAGAACTGGTGGCCAGACTGTGTATGGGGCAGAGTTTTACAGAGTGATTCTTACTCACTTGAGCCACATATGAGAAGCATGGACATTTTAAGATTGCCCTGTGATCCTACGAATACCTAGATGTCCTGCTCAATGGACCCAGAGATCTGATTAAAAAGATATTGGAATGGACACCTCTCCTCTCCTCTCCTCTCCTCTTCTCTCCTCTCCTCTCCTCCCTTCCCCTCCCCTCCCCTCCTCTGCCCTCCCTTCCCTTCCCCTCCTCTCCCCTCCTCTGATACCAGGAATCAAACTCAGGACCTCATACTTGCCAGGCAGGTGCTGTGCCACTGAGCTATATCACTGGCCAGGGCACACCTTTTCTAAGGGAAACCCAAAAGTCCTGAGCCCTTCAGTGTCTTAAGTGTCAGTTTAGAGAGATTTTTTTTCCTTTTAAATCCTGCCCGTTTCCCTCCTCCAAGAATGCTTGGATCCCTGAGTAGGTTTCACTTAGCAGGACATGGCCATGATATGGTCAGTGCCCCCATGTTTGTGTGTCATGTGCTGCAGGTCATTTCTCAGCACATTTTCCTGTTGACTGCTACTGTGTCTTTTCAGAATTTGACAGCTCAAGGAATACCTCTCCTAGCAGAAGTCCAAAAGAGACATTTAAAAGACCCTTCCCAAGCTCTGAGTTTTGTGAAGTGATTGCCAAACAGGCAGGTCCTCCATGACAGGTCCCTGTAGGGTCTGGAGAATGAGAATGAGGATCCTGCAGCCCTGCCATCCTGCTTCCGCTGACAGCATTTTGTGTTTAATGCATATTTAGCGGGCAAAATAATGCACCGTGAAAATGTGCAAATGCACATTTGCCCAAGAGACAAGAGAGGCTGAGGAAAAGGGTGTGAAGAACATAATGGATGTTTAAGAAATTTCCATGAAAGCAGAGAAAACGCAAGGGAGAACATTCGTGCCAAAACATAACTTGCAGTTTGGGACCCTTGCTCTACTTGAACAATACCCTCCAACTTACAGAGAGTTGAGCGGCAACCTGGAATGCTGGATTTCAGAGGTGCAGATGTGGATCGTACCAGTGCACCAAGTGCAAGGTCTCTAGCCCTTGGTCTCAGTTTTCCAGTCTGTGGCAATGGGCATGGATTATTGGGAGCAGTAAATGCATAAGTGATCATGAAGATATCTAGTACATGGACCCAGTGCATAGGAGCAGCTCAAGAAATAATTAGTTTCTCTTTTCAAGAAATAATTAGCTTCTCCTTCCCGGTGAATTCTTACAAAGAGATATAATTACCTAAGTGATCTACATTTAGCTCATAATGCTGTCACCTGCACTTTTACCAACAGTTTGATCCAGAGGTCATTTTCCCCCAATTTATCCCTTTCATGCTTTTTCCCCCTCTCTCAAGTACATATGAAACAGAATCCACTGACAGCCAGCTTTTTCTCAGTGGGCACAAGGGCCAAAGGATGAGATACATGAGCTAGATCCTCAGTGGACTGTGACTCCTTGGGGGAACATATTTGTTTTTGACCACAGAGGAAGCAGAAGTTCTCATCAGCTTAGGTCTCAGAAGGGAACGGGAGAAAAGGAAGGGCAGTGGGTGTGGTCTGCCGGGGCTGTGTGAGCCCTCAGCCCCAGAGAAACTGCTTCTCTGGACAGAATTGAGCAGTGCAGAACGTCAGAGCTGTGTCACTACCAACAAGGCCCCACGAGCAGCAGCCGGAATGCCGGTCCTTCTGGTGCAGTGGCAGCATGGCCAGTCAAGGAGTCGAGAGGTCTTTGTCATGGGCCACTCTGACAAATTCTGCAGACTAATTTTGCGGACCCCATTGTAGTCAGGCCTAATTCTGCGGATTCCATTGTAGTCAGCATGGTCAGGGGGTTGGACGGGGAAATGTGTAAGCCTGCTTAGCTTTTGTATCCTGCTTCTCAGAGTAAAAGAGCACTAGAGGAAAATGACACTGTCATCTGTATTGGAAGGCACTGATTTGGGGCAGCTGAGAGCCAGGATGCATGGTTGTCTGGAGGAGGAGATGCAGAGGTGCTGTGACAGTCATGTGAACTGGCAGTTGTGACTCCATTTCGAACTGATGCGGGAGAGATGATGGGATAGGAGGAAACCAAAGCATGCTCCTCCTGGTATGGGAGCGGGACTGTAGCACTGAGGTTGGGCCTGGGTATTTTTAGGCAGACCTAGGTTTAGCTCTTCTCTTCCTTGTCCTATGGGGGAATCTTGGGCCAGTGTGCTTTACTACTTTTTATTAGCTCCCTTCATTTCCTAAAAATGGAGTTGACAATGCCTACTTTGTGGGGTTATTAAAGGAAAAAGACACCTAGAGCATCTATCGCAATACTTGGCCTTAAGTTGGCCCAGAAATCAGCTGATCTTGCTGTGTCCTCAGTGTTTTACAAGAAACATGGAAAACACCTGCAGAGAGTCCTCAGTAAGGATTCTAACCCAAGGCTTTGGAAAGAAACCATTCTGCCCTCTGCTCAGTGATTTCCCTGGCTTTGTTCTTCTCCCTGCATTCCATTGTTTTCAGAACACCACTTTTCCCTGGCTGACTCCATAGCTAGAGGTGAAACTGAACCACACTTTTGAATCACAAGGAATGGATCCATCCTTCTTGCAACCGGGACCCACAGCCCATTTCCCAGCTAGCTTGCATTTGCCGCTCTATTCCCCTTGTACTCCACAAAGGACAGGATGAGAGGCATGGATGACAGCTGCAGGAAAGAACCATTTACATTACAGCTGGAGGAGATCTGGTAGAGAGGCTGATTAGACCCAAATATTCTTTTGAGAAATCTCTCCTCCTGTTTTTTCAGGATCAGTTCTTTGTTATTTGTCTATCACTAGTGTGTGCTCATGGCAGGGCCAGAGCCCAGTTCTCCTGCTATGATTTTATATGACGTGTACCTTTTTGTCTTCACGTGGGGTATAGTGTTAATATTTTGGATGAAGCCTGCACTTCAAAATCACTCTTTGAAGGGGCTGGGGATTTAGCTCAGCGGCACAGCGCCTGCCTGGCAAGTGTGGGGTCATGAGTTCCATTCCCAGTACCGGAAAACAAAACAAAACAAACAAAAAATCATGCTTTAAAACTCATGAACTGAATTTAAAACATCTTGTATAATTGGGCTACCATGCTGACTTGGCAAAAAGAAGCCCAAAACTCAGGAACTGTGATTGATTGTTATTGGATACATTATAAATCTAGCAAACAGGTTTGTCAGTTCCTGCCTCAAGATTCTAATCCACAGAACCTGATTTCTACATATGTTAATGAGCAATCCAATAAAATTGAATGGTAACCATTACATAGTATTTAGGAAAAATTCATCATTATTAACCTGACCTCCAGAGGAAATTTTGTGGCGAACATATTTTGCACCTTGTTAGAATTTTTCTGGGTTTGTAATGAGTGAGTCTGCTGTGGGCTAACATGTGCCCGTGTCCCCAGGTTCAGCATAATGTGATTTTAAGTGGCCGCATCATTAACCTTTGAAAAATGGAGGAAGTCATGGAAAAATTAACAGAGAAAAACTGTGCCATAGCAACTGCCGCTAGCAAAATCAGATCTCCTGCTGATAAATTAGGGGAAATTTTTTTTCCAGTTTTGGTTGTAGAATGCAAATGTATGGCTCCCACGATGATGTCTTCATTCCTCTGCTGATGACTTTCTTCAGTTGTCCTTAAGCTCTGATGTTTTCTCTGCTCGGAGGTTGGTTCACCACTTTGCTCTCTGTCTCCCTCTCCCCTTGCAGGTGGTGCCTTTGAAGTCAAACAGCATCGCTTCTTCCGTTCGCTAGACTGGAACAGTTTGCTGAGACAGAAGGCAGAATTTATTCCCCAACTGGAATCCGAGGATGACACAAGTTATTTTGATAGTATGTGCATTATCTGACATAAGACATTGTTTGGCCTTTACTTTGTAAAATATCATCTCAACTTCTGAGGCTTCCAGTCTCCTTCCCTACAAGTTCTTAAACAGAATGTTGCTCTGATGCAAGAACTTGTAATAAAAAATACCTAAAGTAAAAGGTGATCTTCTGAGTAATTGTGACCATTCTTAAACATTTCTCTGCAGCTCGGTCAGAGAAGTATCATCACATGGAAACTGAGGAAGAAGATGACACAAATGATGAAGACTTTAATGTGGAAATAAGGCAGTTTTCCTCATGTTCACACAGGTTTTCCAAAGTAAGTGGAATGGAGCACAGACATACTGAGGGTTTGGGACAGTCCCCCTCTGGCCAGGCATGGTATCCTCAGCAGCTGGACTGGGTTGTAAAACCACCACCTTTTGTGTGGCTTGAGTTTTCTTGTGCTTCAAATTCCTTTTCGTTTAGGAAAAATGATTCCATCATCTTGACTTCTTTCTGCGATCTAAGGTACATGCATAGCCATCTCTTTATGGTGGTTGCTCACATGAGAACCTTACCTGCACGCACTCTGTCTGAGAGCCAGCCTGCGCAGCCCCTCCCCATTTTCCAGTCTTACAGTGGAGAAAGTGAGCTTCCCGTGTGCCGACCCCTCTCCCGGGCATCAGGCTGAGAACAAGCCACGGAGAAGGCTTGTTCCTTAACATAAGCAGAGCTGACTGTGGGGACTGCTGACTGTGCAAACAGACTCTTGTGGCCAGTAATAGAAATTATAATTTATATTGTAAAAGCAGTGGGGGGCCAAGCTAGAACTTTGGAAATGGTGGAAGATAATAAAATTGATACATATGCTGTGTGTTACTGATAGTGGTAAGGTTAAACAAACAACCACCATCACCCAGAAAAGAAAGTAGATGGTTTTGAGACAAGGTAGGGCCCTAGGAAAAAGCAGAAATGAACCTAGAGGGCACCCTACCTCCTGTTTGCCTCTTTTCCTTGCTATATATTTCCTGTTGCCATGGCATTTTTGCATGATTATTGTTTAGCTTTTCTATAACACTCCGTGATGCTAAAATGTTCTGTAGCTTTTTGTAGGCAATTACCTAGAATGTATTTGGAAATTGGCCAGTACTACCCTCTCTGTTTAGAGGAATGACAGAGCAGTAGAGATCTCCTGCAGAGGGTGGCAGGAATTCTGTCCAAAGCTGTGCTAACAATAAATGGGTGCTACTGTTTCCTTCTTACATTTTTCCTGGCTCCTGTTCTTTAACCTGATCTTTCCTGCTGAATCCCAGTAGACTGTAGAAGCTGGGGGCGGGGGCTGTTCCTGCAAGAGCAGCAAGCAGCTGAGTAGGACAGAGGGGTTTCTCCCCACACTGGGCTCTCAGCACCCTGCTTTACCTCCTGTCTTTGCTATGAGATGACGGAGATTCAGAAGTGGGCTGAGACTTTGGGTTTTGCTTGAGCTCTGAACCTCTTCAGGAATCTCAGCACCGACACAGGAAGCTGCCTGACTGTGTGGGTAATTTGTATGCCAAACAAGTGTGTCTGGTTCTGCAGCCCTGCCGTCTCCCCGTGGACTTTCCTGCCTCTGCTTAATTCTAGAAACGGATGATGTATTCTCCTCTTTGCACTCAATTTCAATTCATTTTTTCCCTTCCTACCCCTCCTACCCCCAAGTAGTGGCCATTACACCCTTTTTTCTCTGTTAGTTTCTTTCGATGATTGACTTAATGCTTAAAAAGTAATCTAAGATGTGGATTGATCTCAAGGCCTAAAAACCCCAATGCATGTATGGATTTTTGTTTGCAGATACAAAATCCATGAGATATGGGGAGAGAACTCCCACTCTAAACACACACACACATGCACACACACACACACAGTGAGCTTTTATCTATGGATGTAAGTAAACACCATTGCAAGTATTTTTGGAATATGTGGTCCCAGTTCCAATTTTAGTTGTGCTCTCATTTTTGCTCCTAAGACTTAGTGTTTTGTTTTTTGTGTTTTCCTGACAGGCTCTTCCTAGAAGATATTAATAAGCACTGGTTATTTGCCTTGCAGGTTTTCAGCAGTATAGATCGAATAACTCAGAATTCAGGAGAAGAGAAAGATGACTCTGGAAACAAAGCCAAAAGCACAACTTTGCCATCCACGGAAACGTTAAGCTGGAGTTCAGAATATTCTGAAGTGTACGTGCAGTGCTTTTACAGGGTTTTCACAAATGGCAGCTACAAGGGCAGAGGGTTTTAAGCTGTAGGGAGCATCAGAACCCTGGGAGGCCGGGAGGAGGGCTGTGAAAACACAGGCCCCTGTGAGCGCCCCCAGGGTCTGGTCCTGTGACTCTGAGATGAGTCCTGAGGATGCGCCTTTGGAGTAAGTCTCCTGGTCACACTGATGCCACCAATCTGGGTACCACACCTTAAGAACCATCGCGCTAGACGTATTTTGGTTGGATTTATCCAAGTCCTATCTTTACCCGGTTTCTTCCAAAATTTGCCACTGACACCGGTTGCTAGTGTGTACTCATGACTTTGTTTTTGTTTTCAATCAAGGCAACAGTTATCGACGTCCAACTCTTCCGATACTGAAAGCAATAGGCATAAACTTGGTTCTGGGCTACTTCCCAAGCTGGCTATCTCAGCGGAGGGAGAACACAGTGAAGCAGTGCCCTGTCCTGGCGAGCCCCATGAAGAGCCTGAAAAGCCACCCCTTCCTCCCGAAGAGTGTGCTCAGGAAGAGCCCGAGGTCACCACCCCAGCCAGCACCATCAGCAGCTCCACCCTGTCAGGTAAGGCCCTGGGACGCACTGGCCACCCTCATCTGCCGTGCTGATAAGTGGCTCTGAGACCGGAGCTAGCCTGGCCAGCCAGCCAGGATGGGTGTTTTATGCTCCATGCCCCACCTCTTGGGATTAAGGGATGAGCTCCTGGGAACTCAGCTCAGCTCTCAGACCCCTCCCTCAGTGCTATGCTGTACAGCCAACTCTGACCTTGGGGCAGCCTTCTCGTCCCCAGCCAGCTTCAGTGAGGCCTTCAGTGGCACCCAAAAGCTGCCAAGGGAGGTCTGCTGATGCAGCTCTTATCTTGGGGAGCTGCATGTGACTCAGTTCAGAGCAAGGGACAATATCAAACAGTCAGATCATCAAAGTGATCCTTACAAATGTCTTAACTCACCTATAAGGGACAGTAGAAAGGAAGCTTCCCCTCTAGCACTAAACTGGATGGTGATTTATTTGAAGGGGTTATGGAGTCACTGCTGTACAAAACAACCCTGCACACTGGACTCACACTGAGCAGAGTGAGACTGTGCTTCGAGGCTCACAAACACCGCTCTCCCATGCACCAAGGGTGGAGGAGGGAAAGGGAGTCAGAAACACCAGCAAGTTTCAGCTGGTATCTCACGAGCATGTGGAGTAACTTCTGCAGGCCAAAGGCCCTTCCCAGTCCGTGGGTCACTGGAGTAGGGGACCCTGAGGCATCGCCACCTACGGGAGAGGCAGGTCAGGACTTGGGCATTTTCTGACAGCACCTTTGTCATGTTACCTTCTTGTGAAGTAACCTTCCTGATGATAGAAATAGTGTCTTCCCAGGTGATTAAAGTGCTTCCTGTTTTACCTCTACCTTGCTGGCCTTAAAGGAGGCAGCCAGGTGTGGTGGCACATGCCTGTAATCCCAGCATTCAAAAGGATCGCTCTGAGTTTGAAGCCAGCCTAAACCGTATAGCAAGACCCTCTCTCAAAACAAACAAAAAATCAGAAGTATCTACTTTAGATGATCTAGCTTGTACTTCTTTGGAATAAGCCTATGAGTTGCTTTTAAATATCATTTGGTTTATAGAAACATTCTGCACAGCATACCTTCTATGGAGCAGTATACATTTCTGCTATTTCAAATAATAAAACATGTATATGGCATAGGATTATTATAAAAATGCTTTCATGAAGTCATTCACTATGCTATATTGATAACCATAATGATTCCAAGATTTTTCACCAATATTTATAAACTAACTGAAGAGTGTGGTTTTTCTTAAAGCATCATGAAAAAATTAAATTTTACCAGGTGGACTTCATCCTCACTAAAATGTTTGGGACAGCAGCAGATATGCTTATCGTTGATTATGGTGAAAAATAATGCTGCATTTTCTCTTCTCTGTTTCTGCCTCAGTTCTGCTTCCCCATTGGGTAGGGAATGTCATGTATTCTAACTATGTAGCAAGAGAACAGCAATGTGGTGGTAGTGTAGAAGCAATGTCTTAATCTGAGGTTCCTGCCCAGGTTAGCTCATCTGAGTACTCAAGTCAGTGTACATCTTGCTGTTCTATATTCCTGGTCACAAAGATCTCTGCCTAGTTCTTAGCTGTCTTGCCCTGAATAGAATACACTCACTTCCACTGAAAATGTACTCTTAATATCTTCAGCCTACTGAGTATCAGAAAGGTAGGGGGTGAAATGCCTAAACACCTGATTGATTACTTTCATAATTAAAAAAAATCTGCCTGGGTCCTGCCATGCATTTTGATTAATAGACTCAAACCACCTTTCTTTCTTTCTCTCTCTCTCCCCCGCCCATACATACACTAAAAATCATCAAAGATCTTGGGGGCTGTACAGAATAGAGATGAGCTTATTTGCTTATAGCCAAGGGTAATTAGGGAACCTGAAAAGCGTGACTGTAGTAAAATTAAATTTGTTGATTTTTATATTGCTCCACCATCAAGAAGAAGGAACCCTTGACATTTAGAAAACATTAAGGTGACATTACCCATCATTGGCAGAGAAGCAACACACCCTGGTATGCCGTGCTGGCAGTGAGCCGGCAGAGGCAAGACAGAGGGATGAGAGAAGTCTGCGGATCCACACCAACACTTAGAAAAGTACAACTTTATACCTGGTTCTACTATACTCGAACCCCTAAAAATTCTTGAAATAGTAGATGATGTGTCAGATGTACCCAGCAGTTACTTGCTGTGAAGAGATTCAGCTTTTCATTTATACTCGCCAGTGAGCCCATCTTAGTCTAACTAGAAAGAGCGAGGAAGTGTGTAACTCCCCCAGAGGGGTGCTGAAGTTTTGTGAGATGATATTTTTGATGCAGTCTTGATCAAAGCCTTGAGCAGCTGATTTTTTTAAGGAAATGGGATAGGATACATTGCTAAATGAAAATGTGCTTAGCATATAGGGGTAGAAAGATGATTATTTGCCTTAAGATTGTCTCTATCCAGTAGCCAAATGAGTATCACAGTACCTGGAAGCCCGCGAACCTTTTCTTGGGTATATAGCGCAGTGGATGACCCTGGTCTATGCCGGCCCACACCAGCCTTCCAAGCCCCAGAGGTCACTCAGCTTTAATCAGAGCTGTGATGTCTGTGCCACCGCCATAAGCCAGGGCCAGATGAGAGCTGCCTAGTGAAGGGGTGTGTATCAGTGAAGCAAAATGTTAGTCCTGCCACACCTCCCCAGGCAAAGAATACAGTCAGTACTTTCAAATATGCTGGCTGCTCTTTCAGAGAATCCTTTCTAATAGTGTTACATACTGCATGTGAATTGTGGGCCTTAGCATGATAATGATGTGTCAATGATTCTTAAGCACAGGAGGCTTATTAGATAGAATTTAGAAATTATTTCTATCTTGTAAACATATAACCTGTGAGATGAGAATGGCTTCTTCTGGTTGACAGAAATGTGTTATCAGTGGTTTTTAAAGAAGCAGAAGAAAATAGAAAACTGATAACCTGGGGAATAAAAAGAAACCCAAACAGGCAGCCCCGCTGCTTAGCTCAGGAGCTAAGCGTGGCTCTCTGCCTGGGAGCTTCTCCACCTGGGCCTCTGTTATCCCCGTTTCTGTGCCCTCATTTACATTCAGCACCTCTTGAAGGAAGCCCAAATGTCTTAACTTAAAAATAGCTCCAGCTTATAGTAAGGGTCAATAAAATAAAAAATAAAGAACATGTGTTTTAGAGGGAATGGAAGATGACCTCCAGGAAGATCAGCTTTTGACACACTGTCTAGATGTAAAGCCAGGAAGATGAAATGAGCTGAGAGATGTACTGTATCTTGTCCTTTGAAATTTGCAGGAGCTTAGAGCAAAGGAGACATCCACAGTGACAGAGGTCAGGGGAGATGCTCTTGGTGCTTGGCGCACGTGTGCAAGTTACCCACCTGGCCCTAGATGAAGTGCGCCTGGGAATGTGGTAGGAGGTGACAGAGCCATAGAGCTTCACAGTGGTAAAACGATGGCCCTGTATCTAAGGTATTGGTAGCACTGATGATCACTGTGGAGCAGTGAGGGCGAACCTCTTAGAGCTTTCACTGATAGAACAAACAGCCGGCGGTGGCACACGTGCCGCAGGTTCGCCACCACTGCCTTAGAGTCACAGTATGAAGAGTGTGGTCATGGTGTTCGTAAGCAAGACTAGGTTCACAGCAAGGCCTTCCATGGTACAGGGGCAGGAAGGAGGGTTGTCTCTATGGGTTCTCAAGGACAGATGATAGAAACTAATTTATTCCTGTAATTCAACGGACTCATTGGCTGAAGTTAGCAACCTGTGTACAAGGAGGACGAAGCCCGAATGGATACCACTTCCATCTCTTCCCCCTCTGCATACCTTTCTCCAGCTGGTCGTGTGTTGTCCACGTTGACCTAACACCATATGGATTTAAGAGTCATGTGGGAGTGCATTTCCCAGCATGTGACCATCTTCCTTCTCTCTTCCTGTGTCCACCTCTGCTCTCCTACATTTTCCTGAATGTGTTTATCCCTTCTTCTTTGTACAGTTGGCAGTTTTTCAGAGCACTTGGATCAGATAAATGGACGAAGCGAGTGTGTGGACAGTGCAGATAATTCCTCCAAGCCATCCAGTGACCCCGCATCTCACATGGCCCGGCAGCGATTAGAAAGCACAGAAAAAAAGAAAATCTCGGGGAAAGTCACAAAGTCCCTTTCTGCCAGTGCTCTGTCCCTCATGATCCCAGGAGGTAGAGAGACGTCAACTCGCATGACCTTGTGTGAATTGTGCATGTAGTCCCCACGGCCCGCCCCCCTGTGGAATGCTGACTGAGATGCAGGATTTCTTGAAGCGGTCGGGTGCCGCCGGACACTCTCCAGAGCGTCTGCGCAGAACCTCGGGGCCTCCCAAAGAGCATGCGTGGCCCAGTTCATCTCCCTTTCTGCGCCAAGGAAGGAGAGAGGCTTCCTGTCCACAAACCCTCATTTCTTTTGTTGTTTTTTTCTCCTATCCTTTAAATGATAAATTTTCTTCACTGGAATAATTTTTTTTCTCTAGCCTATGTATCCTTTATATGCTTTCCAGAGCTGTTTATAGCATCTGTGTTGGAAAACCACATATAGTTTTTCTTATCTCATTCATGAGGAGGTAGACACAGAAATTGTAAGTTTTTCATTTCTAGACATTGAGAACAAACAGGAGAGACTGCCCATGCTTCGGAGAAGTAGGGAAGCTATAAACTGTGGGGAGATCAAGAATACTATCACGAGGCTGAGGACTGGGGTCCTGGCTTTTTCACTTTGATGTGTACCTGCTCTGTCCTCTGCCTGGCATGCTATGAGGTGCCCTGCCCTCCAGCTGGCCTTTCTCCACCTGGCCTTTTGACTAGAGAATAGCAGCCTGCCCCATGAGGTCACAGAGAAGAGCACAAGGATAATGACATGTTTAGCTTTGCTCTTCTTTGCACCATATAAGACTCAGAACTTGGGTAGAGTGGCCACAGTGGGGCTCACCATACCCCATGGAGTCTCCCGTAATACTAAGTACTCTGTGGCCCACTAAGCTCACAATTAAAACTCACCATGCTCTGTAGATTATTTTGCCTTTTCTCAAACACACACATGCACACAGACAATGCCACAGGACCAGTTAAGATTCACATAGATGGAACAGTCACATGAACTACAAACTAGAGGTGTGTTTGTATCTCCCTTTGCTTGGGCTGCTGTAATAAAATATCCTAGGACTGGGTAATTTATAAACAATAGAATTTATTGTTCATGGCTCTGGAGGCTGATGCCCAAAATGAGAACACCAACAGAGTTGGTGTCTATTGAGGGTTGGTTTCTCATGATGGAAACTGATATTTCCTCACAGATGGGGGGACAGGGTAAGCAGGCTCCCTCGGGTCTCATTTGAAAGGACACTCACCCGATTTATAAGAAGCTAACTAACTTCCTCCCAAGGGTCCCACCTCTCAATACCATCACCTTGGGGGTTAGGTTTCAACATACAATATTTCGGGGGACACAAACGTTGAGAACATTGCTTATAAAACAGTAGAATTGATTTCTTGGAATATGAACTGAGTTGCTCTTAAATTTTCTCAATCTCACCTGCTTTATTCTAGAAACATTAGATCTGCAGGTAATATATAAAGACCATCGGTTATAACCGTGATAATGAGTCATTCTCTTATGGAGATGTTACCACGTTCATGTTGTCTGCATTAAAATTTTTTAATGCAAGTTCAACAACTGCAAAAAAGCATCCGGTAAATTCCCCATTGCTTTCTTGGCCATGTGCTTGGAAAAGACCATGTTAAGTTGAGTTAGTGTAAGACTTGGGGTCCAGAATCTTTCACAGTAGTACATACTGTCTTCTGCACATCAAGACATGCTTTACATACATGCACTTACACAGTAATTCCTTTATTTAATTGGATAAAAATATCAGAGCCAGAAAGGAGCTAATCTGTTTGTCTTTTAATTAGTGTAGTGGACTTTGTAATATTCATGACAAATTAGTTGTAATAGAAGCACTTCTGACATTTTCTTGACAGCCTTCAGTTTTTAAATCTATACCTTTTTTGCATAGTTTTTGCATTACTTCTTCTTTATTTTGCATTGGAAACAAATGGGTTTGTTCTGTGACTATGCGCCCTGACCCTGGCAGGGCTCCTGTGGTGAGGGCTGTGTGGACGTTTGTGGGACCAGGATCAGCCTTGACAGTTGGCTTCTCTGTTACAGATATGTTTGCTGTTTCTCCCCTGGGAAGCCCAATGTCTCCCCACTCCCTGTCCTCGGACCCCTCTTCTTCAAGAGATTCTTCTCCTAGCCGAGATTCCTCCGCAGCCTCTGCCAGTCCCCATCAGCCCATTGTGATCCACAGTTCAGGGAAGAACTACGGCTTCACCATCCGCGCCATCCGGGTGTATGTGGGGGACAGTGACATCTATACCGTGCACCACATCGTTTGGGTAAGTCCAGCCATCTCATGCCCACTTGTCCTCATTGTCAGCCAGAATGGAGGAGTTGGCTGAAGCATAGTTAAGAGCAAACTTCTTTCATGTTAAACTGCCTTTTGGGGCCACTCTCATTTTCCTCTTAGTGCTCCCTCCCTTCATCTCTGTGGTGGCATTAGATTCAGCAAAAACTAATCATTTCTCCCAGTTCTGTCTCATTGCTCTATTTGATTGTCTACTCTTACATACCAAAATGGTAGACAGATAGTCAAAGACTACGCTATTCCCACACTTCATTCTCTTTCATTATTTTCCTGGCTTTGTTATAAAAAATTATATTCTCATTTCACATGGAACATTTTAAAGAAACACAGGAATTATTCTGTTTAGAGGAAGAATAGGAGTAGGAATGATGCCTTTTTTATTTTCTTCATGAGGAGCCTAGGATTATTTCCAGATTGGCTCAGAATGTCCTACCAGAAGAAACTGTATGAGTTAAGAGTTGTCACTTGTATAAAAATATATGCTCCCCCCTTGGACTCTAGAATGTAGAAGAAGGAAGTCCAGCGTACCAAGCAGGACTAAAGGCTGGGGATCTGATCACACACATCAACGGAGAGCCAGTGCATGGACTCGTCCACACGGAAGTCATAGAGCTCCTGCTAAAGGTATTTTCTGCTTTATGTCGTAGTCACAAAGAGGAGGCGGGTAGCGCAAAGGAATTTGTGCCAAGAGATCAGTTTCTGTATGGCCTGCCTATGTAGTCAGTCTCATTACTGATAAGGTATTCAGTAACCTAAAGTTTAATGTCAAAACAAAACTGCCATGAATTCCCTGGTTTTATGTTGTAAAAGAATGTCCATTTATCTGCACACTCCTAATTTTGCTTTGCATTATAAATTTTATATAGTAATAGTTCTTTTTATCTACTTCGCCTGGTAGAATCTGTTTAGACATCACCTGTCCTAAAGGTGATTTTCTTCAGGACAGGTTTATTCTCCTGTAGTAGCAGACAACGTTGTATTTTGAGGTCAAAACTAAAGGTTCAGTCTGAGAGTTGGCATTTCTTTGACAGATAGAATTGTAAATATGTACACACATGCTATAAACGATAAAAAGTAGTAGATAAAAATGTTCTGGAAATTATAAGTCTTCCCTCTCTCCCCATACAAATCTATAAATTAATTGACATGGGAGTAAATTTTGGTGTGAGTGGTCAACTGAGTGAAGGTACAGAGTGAGGTCACAGAACGCGTGAAGCGTGAATGAAGACAGAGCGTGAACACCAATCTTTCAGACAGTTCTGTGGAACTATTTTCTTTGATACCCACTGACTCTAGAATATAGTCATAGATCTAACTGATGAGTTGCAGTTTGAGTTTAAATTTTCTCAGGAAAAGGTGGGTGAGAAATGTAATCCCTATTTGTAGGATTACTTTATAAATCCTCACATTTACAAATGACCTCTTGCTTCTTGAACACTGTGTTCAGTCTCTGTCAAGCATGACCTTCCCAGAGATGTGAGCTTCGTTAATGTCATTCAGACTGACTTCACAGTCATTGTAGAAATTGGTAACACAGGAATTAAGGGCTGATGTCTTAGTTACTTTTCAAGTTGCTGAGATAAAATATGCAACACCCACAAGCTAAGAGGGGAAAGGTGTTTTTAGCTTAGCGTTTGTAGAGGTTTCAGTCCATAATCAGCTGGCTCCAAGGCAGGGTGGCACATGGCAGAGAAGCAACTGTTCATGGCAGCAGAAGACAGCAAAAGCAACAGGAGAGGAGAGAAACAAGCCACTTTCTGCCCCTTTTATCTTAAACAGGTTTCTGGGATTAGGGTGGTGCCAATCCAGTCAGTGGACTAATCCAGCAGTCACACACCCTTAATCCCAGCATTGAACCATGAATTAATCACAAACTCTAGATTCAGCCTCCTCTGAAAAGCCCACACTGCCCCCATGACTATTTGAGGCTTTTGGGGGACATCCAGACACAAACCTTAACTGATGGACTCTGGCATTTGAGATGTACATGAGAAAAGAAATCATAGCTTCACTAGCTGGGCTCTAGCAGAGGGAGGACTGTCCTACTCTTGGAGAGAACATTCTGTGAGTGAAGAGGTGCATTGCAAGGAAGTGGGTGCTCAAACTTTTCAAAACCAAATGGAATTAAATGATTCTTTGCCTTCCCTGTGTGTCTTTCTCCCAGCTCACACTTCCTCAAAAGATTTGGAGTATGGCTTAGGTCCACTACTGGTGGTAGTGTCTCTATCCTACTGTCTAGTGTAAGGCAGTAGACAGGAAGTAATTACTGTTGATTAACTCACACCATTAATGAGACTTTGGTCTTGGGCTCAAAGCCCATGGAAACTTGTGGCTCAATAAGTTTGTAGAATTAAACTGAACTATGGTGGTCTTCTTTGATTGCTGTCTGAAAGGTACCATGGAGGACAAGGCCACATGACTACTTTTACTGGGTCCTTATACATGTCTTGTAGCACAGACCACTCAGTGTGGTAGCAGAAGCCTGCAAGTGAACCTACACCTCTGCTATAGGCTGTAGCATCACAGGCTCACCAGAGGGCCCAGGGAAGTTGGTTTCTTCCTTTGTCTCTAAGCTTTTCTGATTCGTAGGGAAGGGCCACCCAGGAGGGCAAACAGAGGAGTCTCCTGTGTCCATGATGCCCTGTGGCCTAATCTAGGAACATCCTTGACTCTTGACTTTATAGAATGGGTCTGCATTTTGTAGGTGGGTTCCTCTTGTCTTTCATCCTACTGGATTTTCTCTAAAGCTCACCATCACTGATTTTAAGAAGGTTAAGAGATTTTCAATGGTGGTAGATGCCTTGCCTTCTACATCCTTCATACTAGCATTGGGTTATGTGCACAGTAGCTCTTGTTACAGCATATCTTTACATCACACATCTCCTCATGAAATCAAAAGAAAACATAAACTGAATTAGATGTGTTTATACATAGAGAGAGGCACATACACATTTATTTTGCTGAAACATAATGGATCGCTTGCATGATTTGTTTTGTACTTCAATATGATTCCATAGTTTAAAACCTCTCTGCTGGCTACTCTGAAATTTGAATGTATATTTCCCCTAAAGGTTTCTGGCAAGGTCTCTTAGCAGAATCAAGATAGCCCTGTGTACAGCCACCTTATCCAGTCGCTCACTGTGTGGCACTGGCACTGCTTCAGCATAATGGGGTGGAGCACATTGGCACCCTGAGAGGCCATAGCATGCTCTGCAACACATCCATGCAGGGGCTCCTGCCTCTGGTTCATAAAGGAAGCACTTGAGAGGAGAAACTAGTGTGATGAAACAAAGAGGATACAAGGGATTTAATTATCTTCCCAGCGAACTGTGTAATCACGCAGCTTTCTTCCAAATTTAACCAGTGATTCTGTAGCCAAGAGAATTAAATGACTGACTAGTACCAACAGTGGACTACTAGATGTCGCCACTAGTTGAACATGAGGCGGGTAGCTCTACTTTAGTATTCTTGATAGCTGTTTCCCAGTGTTTTTAACAAAGTCTCATGGCACTCTTAGAAAAAGGTGGGCCATGTGTGTGCATTTTGAAATACATGTATAATGTTTATCTTTTAGATTATGAACACAGTAAGCGTTTCTGTGTCATAGCTGCATATTTGGTCTCATTTTCCCTTCAATTTCAAAGGGAACCTGCTATGGAAGCTCCGGCTTCCATGTCTAGGGAAACCCACCCAAAATCACTTAGCATCTCAACCTATGGAGTTATTGACTAACGTGGCTTCTACCTCTACTCCCCAGGGGCAATGCAAATCCTGCTGCAAGCAGTGAACCACTTTGTAAATAGACTGAAATCATTCTTCACCCCCTACAGCACCACACTGACCCGGTCCAATCCCCTGATCATGGGATAACCTGCCAGGCTCAACTTCTGTAATCCAAGAATCTTTCAACTCAGCGAGGTTGATTTTTAGTGTGGCATTATTTTAAATCCCCAGTGCATAAGCAAAGCCCCTAAAACGGCTCCAGCTTGTGCTTCAGAAATTTCCTTTCCATCAACTCTGGGGAGCTTCTAGAATCTGACATGGAGACTGCCAAGTAGCATCTTTCCCATCCTCACAGATCTGTTCAGCCCCTAATATATGCAGAGATTTCTATGAAGTGCTACAAGGGCCACACTAAAATGACACACGAGAACAATAGCTAATGGAGTGAGGACACGTGGTGCCTGCCAAGCTCTGTTGTGTTTTACACAAATAAACTCATACAGTCCTCACAGTTACCCCATGAGGGAGATGCTATAAATATAAATGTCCTTGTTTCACAGAAGAAAAAACCAGAGCAGAGAGAAGTTAATAGAGCAGCCAAACTCGCCTGCTAGGAAGGAGCAGATGATGATTGGCAGCCGGGTGAAGAAGCTCAGGAGACTGTGCTTTTCAGTACTACAGCATACTGCTCCATACATGGAGTCTGTGCCGATACCGCATAGTTTGTAGTATCCACGGGGGAAACGCGGCAATGCCAGGCCTTAATCAAAATGCTAAGCATAAAGCACAGATTGTAGACATGGCACAAGTTCTGGAGAGATGACTTTTCACCAGGACACTCAGGAAAGCATCAGACAATTGGGAGTTATTGGTTCAGGGATTTGAAAAATGGATGGAGACTCCCAGGGTATAGACAAGGGGCCACAGGGTCATCTAGGCAACACAAAGAGGTGTGCAAAGGCCAGAGTAAGAGACAGTATGGTGAGGTCCACAGTGACCCAGCAGGTTGGACCCCTGGCTCATGGAAGGATAAGTGTCACATAGGCTGCGGGGGAGGGGTGTGAGTCAGGGCAAGGAGCAGGGATGCGGAACAGCCCATCCCCAGCTGTGCTTTTCAGGGAAAGGAAGAGAAAAAGGGTGGAACTCAGTGAGCTACCCACGGCCAACCGATAAGCTAACAGAGCCAGACTGAGAGAAGAAACGGGCAGCCTGACTTCTGCTGTTGTGTTCAGTTCAGCCAGCTTAATTTCCCTCCCACTGTGTACTAATCACAAAAACGAGTTTGAAGTAAACGTGACTTAATTGAACACTTAACAATCTGCTAGCTATGTTTCTGTTGCATTTTTGAACAAGTGCCACAGAATTCTCTGAGAGGTCATTCATTCATCTAGAGAAACTAGTTGGGGATGAGCTGACTTGGTAAACGAAGCAGCACTGTGCCGATTCAGGTAGCACTTGCTGTGGCTGAATGGATCCGCCAGGTGGCAGACTTCACAAATGGCACCTATTATTTTTTTCAATCATTTAGCCTTTTTCGATGAATGCTTCCAATTTAACATTGGCATTCTGCATCCTTAATGTATTATCACTTAGAGAAGTTACCCTTGGTGAATGTGCACGAGATAAATGAGTTATCCTCTGAAAGAGACATGAAGAAACGAAGAGAAAACAGTCTGGTTTTTATTGGGAAGGGGACATTTTTACAGAGCCTAGTGACATGCTCTGTTTTTGCAAGCTCTGCTCCTCACTGTTTTCTAAGGGGAAATGTTCAGGATTTGTATTCTATTTACTTTATATAAGTGCATGTTTATACCTCCTTCGACCTTGCCATACACATCCATCAAGTGCCTGGTTTGCTCACAACTACTGGCGTTGAACCCAAGCATGCACCATGCCAGGCACAAGAGAGGTACAGGGAACCAGGGCACACCCTGCCCATTCAGAGTGCAGCTGGGAAGGAGGAGCATGGGGGGCGGGGGACAGAAGAGTCAGACATAGGCTTTTCCCATGGGCTCTTTGCCCCTGGGAAACAAGAATCCCAAGTTCCTGCAGTCTGTTATCTTTACCTGTCACACAAGGATACCAGTCTCTTCCCACCTCGTGGGACTGTGGAACAATTGTCATGATTTGGTCATGAAAATAAAGAGAATATATATGAAAATGTTTTAAAACTCAAATTATGCGTTTCAACATATCAGGTGGAAGTTTTCCCCTCTTTGAGATAAACATACCAACGTCTGTGCTGAATTTCATCGAAATGAGGAGAACTCGGTTCAGGCTCAAGCAACCCCAGTGCTACAGCAGCTTCGGCGATGCTTATGTATGGGCTGTGTGTGGCCCATGTGGGTCTGTGCAGGGATGTGGGGAAGAAGCCAGTGAACTCCGGCTGTGTTTGTGGCCCTTTTCCTTCATCATGGGGAAATTATACTTCAATTGTAGGCTTGCTCAGTTTGTGAGGGGAGGACCCAGTCTAAAAACCCTTCTCTGGTAGAGCTTACATACTTCATCAATATTAAGACTTTCCATTTAAAGAATATAGAATGCCGATCTCTATTATCACATAAAACCTTACTTTTAAAATTTGGCATTTGTGTAAAGAATACATACTTTATCCTTTCAGAATGAAGGGGAAAAACATCACTTATTGAAGTCCAAATCCCATTTCCCTAAAATATCTTCTACAAATAGAACATTAGATATAAGATTATGTGGTTAAATGTATAAAGAACTATAAAGCCATTAACAAAATCCTAAGACTCTTAAGTTCTACACTGGAGGTAAAGGCATGAACAAATGATTCTCCAAAGAAATACAAACTAAAACAAGAGGACATCAACTCATAAAAATTGAAAAATAGAGAATAGCAGTGAGAAAGTGTTAAATGAATTTCAATTCACCCAAGTGATAGAATGTATTATGCAGCCAATAAAAAGTGTGTTCTTAAAGAGTAATGATGACTCAGAGTTTTTCAGAATTACATAATATGAAGTGGGAAACAGAAGACTATATAGTAAGGTTAAAGTTGTCCACAGAGTATGTCTGTATGCAGTGCATTTATGGAAGCCCAGGAACAATCAACAGGGACTGGGCACACAGCTCAGTGACAGAGCACTTGCCTAGTGTGGTTTTTTGTTTGTTTGGTTGGTTTTTTTTTTTTTCCGGTACCGGGAATCGAACTCATGACCTCACGCTTGCCAGGCAGGTGCTGTGCCGCTGAGCTAAATCCCCAGCCCCTACTGCCTAGTGTGTTTGAGGCCTTGAGTTCCAGCCCCAGCATAGGGGTGGAGGGAAGTCAGCAGGAAATACATTATTACCAGTGGTACCTGGGTGATAGGCTTCTTAATGATTTTGTTATTTATTCTTTACACATTTTTTCTGCTATAATAGCATGAAATACTTTGCAAATGGGGTCATTAAAATAGTTGATCCCTCTGTTTTCAGTCCCCTGTTGCTAACACACTACACGTCTCATCACTTGGTACCACTTAAAGCCGAACTGCTGGGCATCTCCCAGGCACAGAACTTTAAAAAGGCTTTTTTGCTTGTTGCTGTTTTTCAAGGTACTCAGAGCCATCTCTGACTCTAAAGGACATGTTTCTCCCCTGGGTATTAGGAAACTCAGTAAAAGGTCATGGCTGCCCACCTGCCCCTGCAGCCCTTGGCTGCCTGCTGCCTCCAAGCTCAACTCCATCCCCAGGCTCTACCCCGCAAGCCCTTATCCCAAGATTCAGTGATAGCACCCAGAAAGGCACCAGGAATGACCTCACTGTGCGTGACCTGGCTAAAGAGAGGGTTCCAGGTGGCTGCCACACATTTTCCAACTCTGCACGCTAACAGGTTTAATGGTAATAGAACATGAACCTTTTATAATAATTAAAAATAAAGCTTTCATTCAGTTCTGTTGCTCTGTGATTTCTAGGTCAAACGAAAACATGGAAAGAAGGGGGGAGAAAAAGAAAAATGTATCAACCAAGAGCAGACGGCCACTGGGCACATTTATATTTAATACATATGGATGAGGATATCTTATTTATAGAGCCCTTTCCATGTGTTATGGTCGGTGCTAAAAGCTTCACAAATTCTTTCTCCTTTACTCCTTGGATCAGCCCTAGGACAGTGATGGTGAACCTTATAGAGCTCTCAGTGATAACAGCCAGCCAGCTGTGGCACATGTGCCTTAGGTGTGCCACCACTGTGGAAATAGGTAGTATTATACCATTAGCTAGTGCAATATATATGACTTAGCAGAGGCCTTGGGCAGGCTAGCAGCCCGCCAAGGTCACAGAGAGAGGAGTTGAGTTAGTGTGCAGGGTTGGATTCCAGTGCCTACCCTCTGAAAAAGATTCCCTACTTTGCTTTCTGCTCCATTTGAATTGTCAGGACCTCACTGATGGGTTATTTAGAAATAGAAAGCCCCAGTCTATGAATGACCCTACCTACTTTATTTGTCTCTGAATCTCTTATCTCTGATCTTCCTTCATCACAGCATTTCCCTTTAATATCACTTCATCTTTTTTATAGAGCGGAAATAAGGTGTCAATCACCACCACCCCGTTTGAAAACACATCAATCAAAACAGGACCAGCCAGGAGAAACAGCTATAAGAGCCGTATGGTGAGACGGAGCAAGAAGTCTAAGAAAAAGGAAAGTTTAGAGAGGTCAGTCAATTGGTCTTCTCTTTAAGTTTATTATTCGGCAACATTGGCAAGACGTTAGTCCTTAAATGTTTACCTAAATATGAGAAAGATCTGTTACTCTGTGAGGAATTTTATCCTCTCATTCACATATTATACCTTAAAAGCCGTATTCATTGTAGCATTGTTTCTCACAGTGAAAGGAGGTGTGTATTTCCACTGTGGGATGCTTCTCAGTGCTGTGTCATGGGTGAACACCACAAGAAACGCTTCGCTGTTTTCTGAGCCTCTAGACTTTATTTCATGGGGCAACCGGACCGTCAGGCAATTTGACACTAAATCTACATTTACAATGTCCTCTACATTATCTAGAAACAGTTGCGTTTTAAAACGCCAGGTATTCCAAAATCACTGCGTCTTTAAAGCTTCCCAAATGAGCCTGCATATACAAGGGCCTGTGTGACAGACTGAGTATAATGAGGGAACGCACGGTGGCAGCCAGAGACACTGATGAGTGTCCTTTGTGCTTCGGGCCAGGGTGTGCGTGCGCTCCTGGTGCCGCCTGTCCTACGCTTCACTCGGGGGCTTCATGGCTCACCTCAGTGAGAGGGCTTCTCGTAAAAGTGTAGGAAACTAAGCAGATCAGAAATGAATCAGTTTTTAAACTGATCAGTATATCACATAGCTCATTTTTGCAACCAAAGTTTTTGATTTAGTTGTATTGAATGGAATAGAAATGGGACCGTATATTTGGTCTTCGGTGGATGGGGATTGTGCAAGAGCTTTATTCTCATTCTCCATGGTAGGAAATCAACAGATAATTTCCAGAGCTAGAAAAATTGAAGAGATGGCAGTGTTGGAACATTACTGAGCAATACACAGATGAAAAGACAAAGAAATAAATTTTAAAAAAAAGTAAAAAGTGTCTTTGGGTGGTGGCACAGTCATTGTTACAGTCTAAGTTTGTGGAACTATTTGACTTTTTATTCCACATGCATGTATTACCTTTATTGAGATTATACACACAAATCCTATTCTTTCTGATCGTACTAAAGTGTACATAGAATTTCACAACTTTCTGCCAAAGCTCGCCAGGAGTGGGCTGGGTCTCTGTGATGCACTGATACGCCATGGGCACCCGTCCCCTCTGCCCTAGGACGTGCTCAGTGAGTGCTAAGTGCACGTCTGTGTCTGCTGCCTGCTGATAGAAAGTCTCCGCTTCACTTTGCCTGGTGGTTTCCCTGTAAATATCCTGCCTACATTCAAGAACCCACACTGGAATAAGCATAGCAAACAGCCCGTCATGCATAAAGCCTTGTCCAGGGGTCTCACCATTAGAGAATTCTATAGCCAAGATAATGGTTTTACTCCAGACATGCATTTTGTTTTATCTCAATTAACTCATGTCAACATATACAGGGTATGTTTTTCTGTATGTCTTCTTTCACACAAGGAAGCCCTCCTTATGGATGAATAATTATATTAATTATGAATAATAAGTGAATATATTTGCCCTACTTCCCCACCTCTTCCTGAGTGCTGAAATTGAGAACTTTATGGCATACCATCAAAGACTTCCTTTATAAGTCATGAGAAAGTTTTTAACAGTGGTGTCTTACACTTCAAGGTCTGCTCTAGGTCACTAAAATGGTTGCTATACTGAATATGCTAGTATGATGGGGGGACAAGAGCGGCTGGAAAAGTGGGCGCTGATCAATTTTTTCCTATTCCTATTCTAGGAGGAGATCTCTCTTCAAAAAGCTAGCCAAGCAGCCCTCTCCTTTACTGCACACCAGCAGGAGTTTCTCTTGTTTGAATCGATCACTGTCATCAGGAGAGAGCCTTCCGGGCTCCCCCACTCACAGCCTGTCTCCCCGGTCTCCCACGCCCAGCTACCGCTCCACCCCTGACTTCCCATCTGGTGAGTCTGCTGGTGTGATCTAGATGCAAGAGAGTTGAGAGGAGGTGGAATCAGCCAGTGTCCTGAAAAGCAGGGAGCCTGTTTCAGCCTGCGGAAAGCGGATAGGGGTGGAAAATGACAGGATTCAGAGGGAGGACAGAGACCGGGCTTTTGTGACCACTGAAATAAGTCAGGTAGCAGGACCTAACCCTGGTTTGGTGAGGCTTATCTTTGAAGGGTTCATTTCACCGGAGCAATGCTCAGATACCGTGCTACCTTTCGTGGACTTAACCTCCAACAGTCTGGGTCAGAATTGTTGGAAGAACAAGAAAGATAATGCTGAATGCTTACAGCCCTCTGTTTTCCTCCCACAGGTACTAATTCCTCCCAGAGCAGCTCCCCAAGCTCCAGTGCCCCCAATTCCCCAGCGGGGTCAGGACACATCCGGCCCAGCACACTCCATGGCCTGGCCCCCAAGCTCGGTGGGCAGCGATACCGCTCTGGAAGGCGCAAGTCGGCCGGCAGCATCCCGCTGTCCCCGCTGGCCCGGACACCTTCTCCAACTCCCCAGCCCACCTCCCCGCAGCGCTCACCGTCCCCACTGCTGGGACACTCCCTGGGCAATGCCAAGATATCTCAAGCTTTTCCCAGCAAGATGCACTCCCCTCCCACCATTGTCAGACACATCGTGAGGCCCAAGAGCGCTGAACCCCCTCGATCCCCACTGCTCAAGCGGGTACAGTCTGAGGAAAAGCTGTCACCTTCCTATAGCAGTGACAAGAAGCACCTGTGCTCCCGCAAGCACAGCCTGGAGGTGACACAGGAGGAGGTGCAGCGGGAGCAGTCCCAGCGGGAGGCAACCTTGCAGAGCCTGGAGGAGACCGTGTGTGACGCGCCGTCCCTCAGCCGCGCCCGGCCCGTGGAGCAAGGCTGCCTGAAACGCCCTGTCTCCCGGAAGCTGGGCCGGCAGGAGTCCGTGGAAGACTTGGACCGGGATAAGCTGAAGGCCAAGGTGGTGGTGAAAAAACCAGATGGCCTCCCGGAGAAACAGGAGTCCCACCAGAAACCCCACAGTCTGGGCAGTGAGTCAGAAAACCACGCTCTCTTTAGGCTAGAAGAGAGGGAGAAGAAAGTCTACCCCAAGGCTTTGGAAAGGTCGAGTCACTTTGAGAACAAGGCGGCAGAGGCCCAGTCTCTGGGCAGCCTGCTGAAGGATGCCCTCCACAAGCAGGCCAGTGTGCGAGCCAGCGAGGGGGCAAGCCCGGACGGGGCAGTGGTGGGCTGCAGCCCAGCACCTGTGGAGCACAGCCCAGGCACAGGGGACTTCAAACGGGCCTCTGCCCCTGGCACCCTCCAGGACAGTCTGTGTCACTCCCCGGACAGGTCCACCTCCGGGAAGGGAGAGAGCTTGGAGAAGGCCTCCCAGGCCAAGGACTTCCTCCGAACTGAGAAGCTGGACAGCAAGCTGGCCAATATTGATTACCTCCGAAAGAAAATGTCACTTGAAGACAAAGATGCGAAGCCCAAGATGACATCTGGCCCCCATGAATGCCTGCCCGGGAACACGCTCCGGCCTGTGAGTGGGCAGCAGGAGGCCCCACCAGCCTCTGAGAGCCGCGTGTACATCAGCAGCACGCATGCAGCTCAGATGAGCGGGGTCTCTTTTGTTCCCCTCAAGGCCTTAGCTGGCCGGGTGGACAGTGGAGCAGAGAAGGCGAGCTTGGCTGCGCCTGAATCCCCCGTCAGAAAAAGCCCCTCTGAGTATAAGCTGGAGGGCAGGTCAGTTTCCTGCCTGAAGCCAATTGAGGGCACACTGGACATTGCTCTCCTGTCTGGACCTCACGCCTGTAAGACAGAGCTGCCTTCGCCAGAGACAGCACAGAGCCCCAGCACTGCTGGGGACACAGCGGCCTCTGTGCCTCCAGCGCCCCCTGGCAGTGGTGGCAGAAAGGGCGAAACCGCCAGCCTCAGAGAGCTGTCCCCTGCCGGCTTAAAGATGAGTAAATCTTACTTGCTTGAACCTCGGTTCCTGCCCCCCAGCCGAGGTCTCCAGAACTCATCAGCAGCTCCCTTGCCTGACCCAGAGTTAAAGTGGGATAGGAAAGTTTTCCAGCCTGCTGGCAGGGGCTCAGGGACAGTTATGGAGAGTGACCCCCAGCAGAGAGAGGACAGTGCCACCAAACAGCAAGACCGTTCCATTAACCCCAAGGTCCTCCCCAGCCCTGGGCAGACCCTGCACAATATTGACCCTGCCAGTCCACAGGGCCTACTCCCACCTGACAGGGCCCCTTCAAGAGAGAAACCAAGCCTGAAGGAACTGACTGAAAAGGGCCCTTCCACAACCAGAGGCGAGTGGCCTGCCGCAAGGGCTGACAAAAACCGAGACCACTGTAAGGAGCTGTGTCCCCAGGAGACTAAAGCTAAAGCTGGTGACAGTTCCCAAAATCTCTCTTCTGTGGGAAGGACTCGCCTAGATTTCTACGTGCAGAACCCAGCTGTGGAAAAACCTCCAGCACCTACTGGGAAAACAAACCACAAAGATGGCCGAGAGGACACGAGGCCCCTAGCCAGGGATGACAAGGCCTCGTGCGTGCCTGGGAATCTTGGCGAGCAGGAGGTGGACACAGTAAGAAGCACTGTGGAAATCAAGCCTGAAGCCCCTCCTGCCAGGCATCCTCCACAGCCACTCAGAAATGAGAGTGGAAAGAGTGAAAAGCTCTCTGGCTTCCCCTCTTTGCTGAAAGAGGGCCCCAAGGAGCCTGAGAGGAAAGAACAGCTTCTGCAAAGGCACCTCAGCAGTGGCCCTCAGCCCCCACTGACCACCAAAGAGCTGCCCAGATTGGCTGTCCGGCAGCAGTGCACTTCCTCCAGCCACACTTCCAGCAGGGAAATGGAGACCACTCCGGGCGCTGTAGAACCCAGCCTGGGTCCCCAGGACACCCCCAGGCTGGCTGCCGCTGCTGCTGCTGCTGCTGCATACCATGAGAGCAGCAGCCCCAAGTCCCATGCTGGCCCTGACCCCAACCCTCCAAAGATCAAGCAAACAGACAGGTCCCTGTCCTCTCAGAAACCAAGTGTTGGGGCTGCAAAGAGCAAAGAGCCTGCTGCCACTCAGCCACTTGGAGGCTCCAGAAGAGATGGGAAAGGCAACATCAAGGTCATGTTGGATGTGTTCCCTGCCATCCTAAGCTCCCAGAGCAAAGTTGGCAATGCAGTTGGCTGCGGAGAGAGTGGGCCCTCTGTCCCGCTGCACGCTGAAGAGGGTCTAGTAGATACCAAACCAAAACCCACCAGTGGCAGGCATCCCCCGGAGATGCAGGAGAAGCCTGTATATTTGCCAAGGCCAGGGCACCCAGGGTCCAGCGAGTTGGTAGACCAGAAACCTACCACTGCTAGTGAGAAACAAAGCCTGTCTCCAAAGCATCCCAAACCATCCACTGTGAAGGACAGACAGACAGAAAAAAGCCCCAGTCAGCAGGCCACTGCCTTGGATAGGAAGGCCGAAGGGAAGAAATGCACAGAAGCACTTTACGCTGCAGCCGCAGACAGTGGGAAGGAGGCCAACCTCTCCCTCATGCATGGAGAGAGCTGGCCAAAAGGCACGGAGAGGCCAGCATCAGGAGTGGGGAAAGGCTTCCCAGAGCCCAAGGGCAAAGGGCCTGGGCCCCAGAAGCCCCCAGCTGAGGTAGGCAAGCTCAGCAGCATGAAACGGTCGCCCTCAGCCACTGGGCAGAGTTCTTTGCGCTCTCCTGCCCTCCCAGAGAAATCCCTGAGCTACTCCTCCAGCTTCCCCGAGGCCCGACTAGGGCCAGGAGTCCGAGAGGCTACCCCAGCCAGTGGTGACCCCTCTTCCGCCAAGGCCAATGGGGGCATGCTTGAGCCTCCAGCCACCAGCCACAGGGACCACAAGAAGCCCCAGTCTGGGGGGGATGGCAGAACATTAATGACAAAGAGTGACTCCTTGCCGTCCTTCCGCCTCTCCACCACTGCCCCAGAGTCCCACCAGCCTGACTTACAGGTGTCAGGTGGAGCTGGCCGCCGAGACAGGGCACTCTCTGTAACTGCCACCATGGGAGAAACCAAAGGGAAGGAGCCCACCGCTGCCCAGCCTCCCCAACCCAGGAAACAGAACCCGGGCAGGGAGGTGACCAAGGCATCCCTGACCCCAAACACAGACCGCTCCATCACCCTATCATCAGAGAAGGACTTCGTGGTGCGGCAGAGGCGGGGCAAAGAGAGTTTGCGCAGCAGCCCTCACAAAAAGGCCTCCTAAAGGGACAGGTCCCGGGCAGGACGGTGGAGACCTGGCCTGAGAATGTGACTGTCAAGACCACCTTCGAAACCAGCACTGTGGGAATGAATGTCCACCAGGCAGAGCCTGAGCCTCACGGAGGAGTGGGGAGAGAAACACGTAGAGGGAACCTTCTTCCAGATGCCTTCCCAGTTGTCACCGGTAAAGCTGTTACCAGATAGTGTTTGTACACACACACACACACACACACACACACACACACACACACACAAATTCCTTTGCAAAGTCGAGGGTTGTTGAGGAAAGAAATTTTTCTCTGTAAATATCTAGCGATGTGTTTGGTTTGGGATGTAGTCTATACCTTGCTGCTGATTACATCATTCACTACAGCTTTTGAAAATTAAGATCTTTGCTTTACCAGTTACCATCCTGTAGTAATGATGCAGAAATGGTCAAAACCGGATGTGTGTAAAAGTATAGAGACATCCACATTTGTGTCTGTATACATCCACCTACATGTTTTGGTCTGTGGTTTGGAAAAATTTCAAGACTCCATTTTTATAAGTAGAGTCAGAGATGCAAGAAAGCCCTAAATACAGTAGGTTGTGAGTTTTTATGTGTATTTTTAACCAGAGTTTCTGATAATATTGTATCTGGCTACCGATATTTCTAAATCTAAAAAACTACTGCTCCAATTGCTGCATTTGGAATCCTCCACTAGGAAAGGCAGGATAAATGGAGCGAGTCAGGTTTATTTCTCAGTCATCCCTGTGGACATCTTGATCCTGAGGGTCCAGCTGTCCCAAAGGCCAGTTGTCCTTTCCTGTAGGTTCTATGTCTAATCTTCACCCAAAGTAGAGCAGGGACTATGAACACACATCAACTTTATTTCAAGCTCTTACATTTAGGCCTTCACGCTGTGAGCGAGTAGTCTGAGAAGCACAGGTTCTGTGGTAGTCCTTGCACCAGCCCTGCTCTGGAATCAAAAGGAGAATTCCTGGCTGCACACAAATCTGCTAGTACTTAGGTCAGGTCGTAAGCATCGGGCATTGGAAGAGGTTTCAGTTTGCTTTTCTGAGGAGAAGAAAGGGGGGTGGGTTTTGGCGTCATAGCATATATATATTCAGGAGTAATCAGGACATCAGATACATTTTAACACATAGCTGGGGCCTTATGTTGTAGATGAAGCTTGCTGTTTTTAGCAAGTTCCTGGTTTCACATTCATTTTTGCTGCATCAAGTAGCTCCAAGCACTTCATAACATGATCTCTTTATTTGTATGCAAAAAATACTGTATTAATAAAGAGAAACATTTTTGTAACAAAGAGAGAGACTTGGTGGAGCTATTCGGTGCTTGAATGTGACCATCCTTTTTACTTTTGCTAAGCCTTATTTAAATTTTGTATACCATGAAATATGTAGAACTTGTCAAATCATTTTAGTGTGGAGGGTTTTTGATTTCTTTCTGTTGTTGTTGCAGTTTTTTTTTTTTTTTGGTGGTGGCTTGTTTCAAATAGTAAGATGGCACTCACTGACATAAGTACTGAGGCACCAAGAGACAGCAGATAAGTATTTATAAGATGCTTGGGATCCACAGCAGGATTTTGTTTTGTTTTGTTTTGTAAAAGGAAAAAAATTACCAATAAATAATCTAGCACCAAACTCCCTCAAGGGATATCTCAGTAGCTTCATTCTATAAAACTGTTTATGTAAGCACAGCATCCTCTTACAGCCCTGTGGATTGTAAATCATCTAGCAAGGCTGTAAACAGTCCAAAAACAAAGGCATAACTTAACCAACCGCTTGACTGTCTTCATTGTAAAGCAAGTTGGCCATAGCCAAATAAAAAAAGAAAAGAAAAGAAAACTATCTGCTCTTTGCCCCCTTTTTTTTTCCCCGTGAAGTTTCGGCCTTTCCATTATTTTATTGTGAAAGTGCGAAACAAACAAAATATTTTTTACAAGAACTAAAATGGGTTTCCGAAGTGGTCTCAAGACTTGTAATACATATCTGTTGGGCAGTTGTCATAACCTACCCTTCTACACTGAACACTGAGACAGGTCTGTTCGGGAGGTAATTCATGGTTTACAGCCTTTGCTTTTTAACTGTCCAGTTTTCTTTGAAGCACAACTAGCTGCTTGTTTACAAAGGATATTTTTATGTATATTTTGTATAGTGTATTATCATTTTTGCCAAATGTTTTTGCATTTTGGATGAGTAAAGAGTACTTACGGTTGCATTCATGTAATACCTGTTTGTTGTGAACTGCCCACATCAGCTGGTAGAAACTCTCTTGTGTTCTCGTTGGTCAGTCTCTGTGTGATTGTAAGTGTGCTCCGTGGTAGTACTCCCAGCTGTAGACTTGCCGGCTTAAAAAGTTTGTTAGAATCTGTGCAATAAAGTGTTTGCAGTCTTATTTTCTCTAAGAAATTCCCCCCTGGATGTCATAATTGTTGTATATTGAATAAATATTTATACTTATGCAGTTGCATAACAATTGAATAAAAATTTAGCATGAAAGATCATGACTACTATTTTTTGAATGTGTACACATACACCACACCCCAGACATTATTATTCTATATTATAGGGAGTATGAGTTTTTATACTCTTTTGGTGGCAGCCTGATTTGCCTTTTTTCTTTTGACCTACACAGTTCATCCTTCAGTGAAGTCTTCTGACTCCTTGCTGTTCTTTTCCTCCAGTCTTCTTCCTTGCCTGTAGAACTTACTGACTTCCCTGCCTGCGTTCACCTTCTTCGCTGCAGTCTCCAAGAAGAACTGTCCCTTCTACACCAGTGGTGGCACACGTGCCACAGCGGGCTGCTTGTACCATTGAAAGCTCTAAAAGATTCGCCATCGCTGTTTTGGATCTTTCAGTAATACAGCCCCCCTACCGTAGGTCATTACCACTATGCTAAAAGGATCGCCATCACTGTCCTCCACCAGCACCTCTCACATTCTCCGAGGGCCCCTCTCCACCCATTACCATTACCTCCGTTCACCATTCATTTTCTTCCCCTCTCATACTTTCTTTTTCCCCTAGGTCCCTTCTCGGCTGACCTCCTGAGAGTCTGCGCGTGCTACTTCCTGTCACTCCTCACCCCGTGGGGATCTGGCTTCTGTCCACCACAGCAGCAGGATTGCTTCCCAAGGGTGGCCAGAGACAGCTGATGAATGTACAGCTCAGACATCAGTGGTGTAGTCCATCTCACCCTTGAGCACCACTGTCGTCTTACACTCCTCTGTCCTGGTTCTCCTCTAGCCTGTTCCATCTGTTCCTTTCTTACTTAACTTCCTCTTCCTCTTCTGAGTGCTTGTGCCTTCCGTGCCAGTGTTCCCAGGTTCATTCTTCACTGAACATTTCTTTACACCAGTCTTTGTCTTTTGTTTCACTACTGGGCATTTCTACTTGGCGCCTCATTCTCAAAACATCCAAAATTGTACCCATCCTATTCTCTGCCCTCCATTCAAATTTCACTGTACCCCTTATCTTTCCTCCAGGCCAAATCCCAGGTTTCCACCTAAACTCCTCCCTTTACATAAGAAGTAAAAATCACTAAGACCCACCAGTTCTACACTTTGTCGTCCAACCCACCCCAAACATACTTTTCTGCCACCAGCAGCCTTCGTGTCAGTCTGCCCTAGATGACCACACCAACCTCTGGACTGGTTTTCTTGCCTCCACTCTTACCCCTTCTACTGTTTTTCAAAATATCCCTGGAGCGACTTTCTCAAATGCAAGGACACTGTAGTCGTACCTGTTTTAAACCTTTAAATAGCCCCCATAGTCTTTGGGATAAAGGCCAGCTTCTCAAATGTGCTCTTAGCCTGTCAGGCCCCTTCGGGTTGTTGTAATACATGAGGCTGAGTACTTTACAAAGCAAAGATGAATTTAGTTTTTAGTTTGGGAAACTGAAAGTCCAACACTGAGTGATGCCATCCTTTCTGGCTCTGGCAAGGGCCTCGTGGCAAACAGCATCACAGTGGTAGGAGCATGCGCAGAGGAGATTGAAGCATGGGACAGGAAGCCAGATGTCAAGAGCCAGGCCTGCTTCTCTATAACTCACTCTTGCCAGAACTGAGATCTGGTAGAGAACTACATTAATCCCTCCCAAAGGTGCACCTCTGACGACACAACCCCCTCTTACCAGGCCTCACGTGAACAACAACAGCAGGCACCAAGCTTCCAGCCCACCCTTTGGGATAGACACCACATCCAGACCACAGCAGCCTACGTAACTCAGCTACCTAAGAGTAAGTATTCTGGGCTCCTGCATCTGGGGGAAGCCTTTCCTGATGCCTGTGCATTTACAGACTCGCTGCATTATTTTGGAGCTGTTTCTATGTATTACTGGACTTCAAGGCCCTTGAGTATCTGTTTCTTTGTCTGGGCCAAGCACATAGAAAGTATCAATGAATAGTTGCCAAACTGAATTGAACCAAAAAGGTTTATTAGTGCCTAGCTGCCTTTCGTAGCATTCTTGTCTCTTAAGTACCACATTACAGATTTCATGTGCAACTTCTCACTTACTGTGCATTTCCTCTGATCTGTATGCTATTTCATTTTATCCAGCAGGAAAGCAAGACCCAGAAAGCATAGTTTAATGACTAATCCTAGTAACTGGCAGAAAACGGTCTTGAACTTCTGCAACCACACTGGACCACCCACACCCTAACCTCCACTATTAGCCAACATTCACCTCCCCCTTCTTGTCTATAAAATAAGTCACAAGAGGAAAGGGACAGAATCATGACAATGATTTTCACTGCCTGAATAATACAGTTCTCTCTGCCCAGACAGAACACCTAGAGAAAAAATTCACATTTTAAAAAAAATTATGAAAATGATTATTTTAGTGGTACTTGATACCATGCTATGAAGAAAACCCACCCTTCATTATAAAGGAAAAACCTACAAAGGCTATGAAGCACACATATCTCAGAGTCAAACAGTAGCCACAATCACAGCAGTAACTGTTAAACAAGTCATTTAGGGTGTGTGTTGGTTTGGGTGATATTTTGCAAGGGGAACAATATAATACAGGACATGTTTTATATGGTTATTCATAATAGCCACCCAAAGAACAATATACAAAAGAGTGCAGGAAATCTGTCCACACACTAAGACCAAGGAATCCAACCGAGGGCCTGGATCCCACTATAGCGTCCTGCATGAGTCCAACTTAATACCTAGAGCTCATAACGATGCTTCCCACTAATCCAGCTGGAAGCCCAGAGCCCATAAGAATATCTCCTCCAGGCCTGTTTCACAGATCTGTGCTGGGAAAGCCCAAAGGTCAGTGGTGGAATCTAGAAAGTCTGTGGCAGGAGGATGAAGGATCTGTGTTAGCAGGTTGAGGGATCTGCACTGGAGCCAGGAAGCAATGTACAAAGTAAGAACCAAAAGCTCCCCGCAAAAGTACTACAGCCATCCTCAGCAACAGCGAGGTCCCAAACTCCTCTGATGATCAAGATGGCTGAGTTCCCTATAGGAAAGCTAATATAGCAAGCTTCTCCCGGAGACTGGCAGTGCATCATTTTCCCCTCCGAAGCCAGGAAGTGATGCTCAGAGTGAGGACCAGAGCTCCCCCAAAGTGAAGCAAAGCTATTCTCAGTGCCAACAAGGTCCCAAGCTCCTTGAAGGATGAAAACAGCCAAGTTCATCAGGAAAGCCAGCATGACGAGCTCCTCCAAAAGAGCCAATAGCTCCTTACAGCTTCTACCAGCTCCAACTGGCCTTTCTCTGCTCCCAATAGCCTAGCCTTTCTTCTCCAGTTCTACCTCTTATGCTGCTGGCAACAGTCCCCAGGTGTGCTTCCCACACCCAGCACCACGTTTACTCAGTTCAGCTGTGGGCTATAAGTTGACCACCAGTTGTCAATCCACTACAGGGTGAATGCATAAAATAAAGTTAAATGGAAAGAAAGTTGGTGTTTCAAATGTACCTACCCTATTCTGTCCTGGATGTAGCTCAAGAGGTCATTAAAACGGTGGTGGCACACATCATAAACCCAACTACCCACCAGGTATCAGGTGAAAGCAGAAGGATCTCAAACTCAAGACCAGCCTGGGCCATTTAAGCAGGCCCTGTCTCAAAAAAAAAAAAAAAAAACATTTTAAAAGGGCTGGGGTGTAGCTCAGTGGTAGATCTACTTGACTGTGCATGGGTTCTGGGTTCATTCCCCAGTAGTAATGGAGGTGGGAAGAAGAGGTCACTAAAGACCAACAGCTGGACAATCATGCTCTTGTGCATCTGGCCACTGGGACAATTTGACAGGTCACATTTTCAACATCACTTTTACTTGGGATTTAAAAATGCAAGTGTATTTCAAAATGTATTCAGAGAATAGTACTTCCTTAGCCAACTGAGGGCTACATGCATGAGGCATTGTTTTTGACAATGCAAATGGTTTTTGAGCGTGAAGAATGGAAACAGGCAATGTAGCAGTGTAAGTACAAGAGAGTCCAGCCTCCTGGAACACATTTTGGAATAGGAATGAGGGTTGAGAAGGGGCTAGAGTACAAGACCACCAGAAGAACTGGAAAATTCATGAATTGGACATAGGTATTAAGGTAAGGAGAAATTATTTCTTAAAAAAAAAGACACTATCCCACCCATGTGAGGCAATCACATTGGGCCCTCAACAGCTAAGCGCTTAGAGGAGAGCAAGCCTGAAGACCCGGGATGAAGCAGCACACACCAGATCTCTACTCTAACATGCACATAAATCATGGGAAAACCCTGAATATCTTGGTTTAGAAGGCCCAAGTGGGGCTGAAAATTCTGAGGCTCTTAAACAGGTGTTAGTGATTCAGATGAAGACTCTTTGACCATACATACCAGGGAATTAAAATCTGAAGCTTGGGCTCGGACATCTGTAATTACAGGTGGTTCCAATGTGCAGTGAATAGCAAAAAGATAAAACAAATCCCCGACACACAGGTTGATGTTTTAATTCATTCCCCTACCTGCAGGTGACATCACAGAGTTCTAAGATATTTCCCACATGCAGCAACTACTACCAGGCCCCTAAAGACCCTTCCCAAAGTGTGGCCCTCAAACCAGCAACAACTGCACCCCCTAATAGCATTCTAGAAACATAATCTTAAGTTCCAGCCCAGGCCCACTGATTTTCTGCATTTTAACGATACCCAAGTTGTCTGCCCATTGAAGTCTGAGAAGTTTTCCAAATTTCCTGAAAGACAGTTACTTAGGATACTTATTAAACGTACAAACTTCCACACACCATCCTAGATCCATTCATTCAAAAATCTCTAGGAAGAGGCCTGGGGCCCTGGGTTTATGACCAAGGCCTGGGAGGAACAGGTGACTTGTGAGAGAGGCCTGGGCAGTACTGGTCTAAGGATATGTTTGTCACCCATGCTTGGATTTGCCTACAGCTAAGGTCAGGACTAATTAGAGCTTCTTTAAGCCCTTGGCCATAGGAAACCCATCATGAAAAGCCAATGAAACTACTCCATAAGGAAAAAAATGATCTATACTTAACACTGGGTGAGATG